GTTATGAGAACGTATTTAAAACTAGACTCCAGGCTAAATAAATATTTTCTAATTACTGCGGATATGAATGTTCCTACTTAAAATGCTAAAAAATGATAATTTATTTTTGTGTTAAAATTAAAAAAATGTTATCGCTTTCTGCTCTGTGCAATGATACTGCATAGAGTATGGACCTTACCACCTCTTTGGCAGTTCTGCGCCGGTGCTATTTACTCCTCCCACCTCCAGGTGCCTTCTCAGCAAGCCAGGTGCTCCCAAGCCAGGATGTGTGCATCCATAGATACACACTGCTGGTAAGCTATTCACCCACTTCCATCTCAAAGGAGTTTGACCTACAGCAGCAATAGCCTATGGCTGCTGCTGTTCTCTGTGTCTCCTGTGATACCAGAAGGGAGCAGTGCTTGCAGCCAGGACAGCACTGGAATAGGGACAGGAGTCAGGTAAGTGTTGTAAAGGCTGAAGGTTTTTTTACCTTCATTCATTCTATGCATGAAGACAAAAAAAACTTTCTCTGTGCAGCAGCCCCCCCCCCCCCCCCATACTCACCTAAGCCCCCTCGTGATCCATCGGTGTGCACTGGAGTCTTGCTATCCCAGGACTCCCTCTCATCATTGGCTGAGACAGAAGCAGGAGCCATTGGCTCCCACTGCTGTCAATCACAGCCAGTGAGCCAATGAGCCAATGAGAAGAGCAAGGGTGGTGGGGCTGAGCCGCGGCTCCGTGTGTGAATGGACACACAGAGCAGTGGGTGCCACCATAGCAAGCTGCCTGCTGTGGGGGCACCTGACAGGAGGGAGGGGCCAGGAGGGGAGGATTTGGGCTGCTCTGTGCAAAACTACATCTTTGTTATTAAAAAAAAAAAAACAATAAGTCTTTAGAATCACTTTAATTCAGGGAATAAATTAGAATAAAAATCATTTTGACTTTAGAACCACTGTAAATCTTGGCATTTGGTGTCCTTTGTGCATTTCCTCCAGCTTTAGGGGGGAGTTTGTCAAAACTGGAGCAAAAAGAATCTGGAGCAGTTGTGCAAGGCTGCCAATCAGCTTTCATCTTCAGTCTGTTGCCATGCACAGCTGCTCCAGTTTCAATACATTTCCCTCTCTGTGCAGTAATGCATCATAAAACAGCTCCTGCACTTTGCTTCCTATACTGAAGACCAGTTACTGCTGCTTTCCTTGCTTGGTGGGTTGGCTGGTCTTGTATCCACCCTCTCCTGTAGTTTTCTGCAGGCTGCCTGTAGTGGGTGAGACCTGCTGGGCCCCTCCCTCAGCTCTTGTCTCTGCACAGGCTATATACAGCACAGTGAAGTTGTCACTGCTACTTTTAAAAGGTATTATCTGGTTTGTAAAAGCATTGATACACACAAAGAGCATTTGTATCCATTGTTTCAGTTTTGAACATTGTTACAGTATAGCAAGCCAGGTTAGATATTTTACAAATGTATCATTTACATGTATTTACGCAACTTACCTGTCAATCATTGCCATGTGATGGTTATATTCCACCATGTCACCCCTCTGTTGGAAGTGGTTTCCACCTCTAAGACCTCAAATCAGAGCAGCAATAGGCATTGCAAAGCCATGGGAAGTCTTAGGCTCCTTCTCAGCTGTGATGTGTTACAGTCAGGTCCATAAATATTGGGACATCGACACAATTCTAACATTTTTGGCTCTATACACCACCACAATGGATTTGAAATGAAACGAACAAGATGTGCTTTAACTGCAGACTGTCAGCTTTAATTTGAGGGTATTTACATCCAAATCAGGTGAACGGTGTAGGAATTACAACAGTTTGCATATGTGCCTCCCACTTGTTAAGGGACCAAAAGTAATGGGACAGAATAATAATCATAAATCAAACTTTCACTTTTTAATACTTGGTTGCACATCCTTTGCAGTCAATTACAGCCTGAAATCTGGAATGCATAGACATCACCAGACGCTGGGTTTCATCCCTGGTGATGCTCTGCCAGGCCTCTACTGCAACTGTCTTCAGTTCCTGCTTGTTCTTGGGGCATTTTCCCTTCAGTTTTGTCTTCAGCAAGTGAAATGCATGCTCAATCAGATTCAGGTCAGGTGATTGACTTGGCCATTGCATAACATTCTACTTCTTTCCCTTAAACTCTTTGGTTGCTTTTGCAGTATGCTTTGGGTCATTGTCCATCTGCACTGTGAAGCAGCGTCCAATGAGTTCTGAAGCATTTGGCTGAATATGAGCAGATAATATTGCCTGAAACAGTTCAGAATTCATCCTGCTGCTTTTGTCAGCAGTCACATCATCAATAAATACAAGAGAACCAGTTCCATTGGCAGCCATACATGCCCACATGACACTACCACCACCATGCTTCACTGATGAGGTGGTATGCTTAGGATCATGAGCAGTTCCTTTCCTTCTCCATACTCTTCTCTTCCCATCACTCTGGTACAAGTTGATCTTGGTCTCATCTGTCCACAGGATGTTGTTACAGAACTGTGAAGGCTTTTTTAGATGTCGTTTGGCAAACTCTAATCTGGCCTTCCTGTTTTTGAGGCTCACCAATGGTTTACATCTTGTGGTGAACCCTCTGTATTCACTCTGGTGAAGTCTTCTCTTGATTGTTGACTTTGACACACATACACCTACCTCATGGAGAGTGTTCTTGATCTGGCCAACTGTTGTGAAGGGTGTTTTCTTCACCAGGGAAAGAATTCTTCGGTCATCCACCACAGTTGTTTTCCGTGGTCTTCCGGGTCTTTTGGTGTTGCTGAGCTCACCGGTGCGTTCCTTCTTTTTAAGAATGTTCCAAACAGTTGTTTTGGCCACGCCTAATGTTTTTGCTATCTTTCTGATGGGTTTGTTTTGTTTTTTCAGCCTAATGATGGCTTGCTTCACTGATAGTGACAGCTCTTTGGATCTCATCTTGAGAGTTGACAGCAACAGATTCCAAATGCAAATAGCACACTTGAAATGAACTCTGGACCTTTTATCTGCTCATTGTAATTGGGATAATGAGGGAATAACACACACCTGGCCATGGAACAGCTGAGAAGCCAATTGTCCCATTACTTTTGGTCCCTTAACAAGTGGGAGGCACATATGCAAACTGTTGTATTTCCTACACCGTTCACCTGATTTGGCTGTAAATACCCTCAAATTAAAGCTGACACTCTGCAGTTAAAGCACATCTTGTTCGTTTCATTTCAAATCCATTGTGGTGGTGTATAGAGCCAAAAATGTTAGAATTGTGTCGATGTCCCAATATTTATGGACCTGACTTTATATGTCACAGTGAAGGGGAGACCTGAGAAGACTTCACTCTGCTGGGTGCCACTGCATGTGATGTCTGGTGAGTACATTTTACAGGGAGGAGGGAATTTGTGCTGTGGGCAATTTTAGCTTAGATTGCCCTTATTTAAGGAAGGAAGGCAGCAAATGTTGTACATGCTGGTTACAGTGCATTTCTGTCTGAAATTCTGTGGGAAAATGGGTCATTCCAGACATTGAAAAGAACAGCGTACCTTGATTAAAAAGTTGATTGGAGAGGGGAAAACATATAAAGAAGTGCAGAAAATGATTGGCTGCTTAGCTGAAATGATCGCAAATGCTTTAAAATGGCAACCAAAACCTGAAAGACGTGGAAGAAAGCGAAAAACTACCATTCGAATGGATAGAAGAATAGCCAAAATGGCAAGGACTCAGCCAACAATCAGCTCCAGGAAGATCAAAGAAGGTCTAAAGTTACCTGTGAGTACTGTTACAATTAGAAGACGCCTATGTGAAGCCAAGCTATCTGCAAGAAGCCACAGCAAAGTCCCACTGTTGAAAAAAAGACATGTGCTGAAGAGGTTACAATTTGCCAAAGAGCACATTGACTGGCCTAAAGAGAAATGGCGAAGCATTTTGTGGACTGATGAAAGTAAGATTGTTCTTTTTGGGTCTAGTGGCCGGAGACAGTTTGTCAGACGACCCCCAAACACTGAATTCAAGTTACAGTACACTGTGATGACAGTGAAGCATGGTTGCGTAAGCATCATGATATGGGGATGTTTCTCATACTACGGTGTTGGGCCTATTTATCGCATACCAGGGATCAGTTTGAATACATCAGAATACTTGAAGAGGTCATGCTGCCTTATGCTGAAGAGGAAATGCCCTTGAAATGGGTGTTCCAACAAGACAACGACCCCAAACACACCAGTAAACGTGCAACATCTTGGTTCCAGACCAACAAGATTGACGTTATGGCGTGGCCAGCCCAATTCTTAATCCAATAGAAAACTTGTGGGGTGACATCAAAAATGCAGTTTCTGAGGCAAAACCAAGAAATAGAGAAGAACTGTGGAATGTAGTCCAATCATCCTGGGCTGGAATATCTGTTCACAGGGGCCAGAAGTTGGTTGACTCCATGCAACACAGATGTACAGCAGTTCTCAGAAACAGTGCGACTACAACTAAATATTAATGAAGTGATTCAAAGGAAAGCAAAATCTTCAAACATTTTTCAGTTTATATAGTGAATGTTTGAGTTTGTAAAGAAGAATACAAACACTGCTATTTTTTTGAACAGTCTAATATTCACTTTTCTTCAATTTTTTTTAGAGGAACAACACAAATTTGATATATTTTTCTTCATGTTTTGATTTGGAATAGAATGTGTAGTGTTCCCAATGCATTTGTGTGTATGGAAATAAAAGCTATTAGAAGGATTTTGAGCTTTGTTCACTTTTTTCAACACACTATTATTTTGAACACAACTGTACTGCTGACTCTTGAACTCTGTGTAATTGTGTAATTTATATTGATCCCTGCACTCTTCAAATCTTGCTTACTTTTAATTTTTTTTTAAAAAAAAAGCACACAGTGATCTTCTATGATTATTGTTCAAGTGGGGTTGTCTAACCTTGATGTACAGTATATATACTTTTCTGACCCATGGTGTAATGTATGTCTAGTATATCCACACACACAAAAAAAAAAAATATATATATATATTGCATTTTTTTATGTTTCAGCTATGAACTGTCCAAGTACCATGGTGTACAACCCCTGCCGGTCAGGATGTGAAAGGGACTGCACAAATATCCACAATGCAACAGACTGCTATGACCACCCAACAGAAGGCTGCTTTTGTCCAGATGGAAAAGTTACATTATACGGAAAATGTGTCTCTGAAAGTGCGTGCACCCAGTGTGTTGATATCTACGGAACTGAGTACCAGGTATGTATGCCCTGATACTCCAATCTAAACCAAAAAGATTATTGATTTTGAGAAACTGGACAGGTGTTCAGCTTATACAGTTGTGCTCGGAAGTTTGCATACCTTGGCAGAAATCGTGAAATGTTGGCATTGATATTGAAAATATGAATGATTGTGTCAAAATACTTAGTATAGTGATCATAGGAAGCCATTTATTATCACATAGTTGTTTGGCTCCTTTTAAATCATAATGATAATAGAAATTTCCCAAATGGCCCTGCTCAAAAGTTTACATACCCTGGAATGTTCAGCCTTGGTAGAGATACACGGTGACACACACAAGGTGGCAATTAAAGGTTAGTTTCTCACATATGTAACAAGAATACCATCCCCACTGTGAAGCATGTTGGTGGTTTACTGATGTTTTTTTGGGCAGGGGTGGGGTGTGAGCTCTTAAGGCATGGGGAATCTTGTGAAAATTGATGGCAAGATGAATGCAGCATGTTATCAGAAAATACTGGCAGACAATTTGCATTCTTCTGCACTAAAGCTGCCCATGGGACGCTCTTGGATATTCCAGCAAAATAATGACCCTAAGCACAAGGCCATGTTGACCCTCCAGTACTTACAGCAGAAAAAGGTGAAGGTTCTGGAGTGGCTATCACAGTCTCCCAACCTTAATATCATTGAGCCACTCTGGGGATATCTCAAACATGCGGTTCATGCAGATGACCAAAGACCTTGCATGACCTGGAGGCATTTTGCCAAGATGAATGGGCAGAAAGTGCTTAATGTAATTCTTCTTTAAGAAGCTCTGCAGGTCAATAAGTGTCTATACTTCTTATACAAGCTCATTTGAGGCAACTAGGAATCAAGGGAGAAATGAGATTCTGCCTTCTTAGCAAGAATAAAGGAAAATTGGAGAGCTTAGCAAAAAAAAAGTCCATCCATCCTCCCCCAACCACTGAGGCAGGAACTAAAGGGGTTAAATTACCAAATGAGCTATGTAACAATTATTTATCGATTACTTTCACAAAATTGAGTTTTCATTTAAAGCCTACTCTGGCCAGCCATTGGATATAAGCATTTTGGCTACACCTGTTGGTACTAAGGATTAAATGTTTACTTAGTCCAGAGGTTAAGGGATCAGCAGAAATACCTCTCTTAGGCTAGGATCACATAGCTGCGGGTGCTGGACAGTATGTCATTTCACATGCTGTCCTGCACCCACAACCAAAACCTGCTGCTTGTATGTAGACATGCAGGGGTGCCATTAATTGTTAATGGCACCCCCATGTATCAGAAAAGCAGCATGGGTGCATGAAACCATAAGGTGCAAAAGCACAGATATAATTACAAAATACAGCGCAGCTGATTTGTATCACAATAAAATTGTGATGTATATTATTTTTCAAAAACACAAACAAGCTAAACAAAAAAACATAAGAACCCTATACAGTAAACACCATTGACTCTAAATTAAACTTGCTTGCAGAAATTCTTTTCATATCCAATACTACTACTTGTATATAATGAAATGATCATGTGAAAACATAAATAAAGTCCCATAAAAGTCCTTTTGTATTTGTGCATTGTTCTCCTCAGTCACTCCAAAGTTTCATATACTGTATGTGGCTCCCCAAGTGATCCTCCACCTTCCACTCTATGCTCTCACCTTATTGTGTGACCTACATATACAATAGGTCAAAGTGCACCTGCCCCTTTAAAGGCTCAGAAAACACCCAAACTCTTCTGATGGGATTATGCGCCTCCACTTCTCCTCCACTCCCTCTTATTTCCTCATAATGTTTTAATTCTGTCTCAAAAAAAGCCAGTGGGAGATTTTTTTAAAAGGTACTCCTTTTATATTCCCCATTGGATGATCAGGAAGACAATTAAAACAATCATAGTGTTGAAACGTTCCTATTTTTATTACAATATTGAAATTACACGCACATATATTTTTTCACATTCAGATTAAATAACACATACACAGATTAAAAAACACATACACATGTACCTCAGTGGCCATGGTCTGAAAAAAACTCCTACTACCTTGTTAGGACATCCTGATTTCATTGGCTCCGCCCTAAATGTATATATGGATTTTTTTTTTTCTACATATATGTTTTATTCAAATATGATTGGTTAAAGGGTTTTTTGTTTACTTACGAGGTGTAAAAGCACCATGCGGTTTCTGTGTGGCTGCATTTTAGGAAAGGTGCAGGGAATTTTCCCTGCATTTCCAGAAGGCACAACAGCCCATTCAAATACAAAGGCTGTTGTCAGAGGCATCCCTAGGGTTGGTGTCACCCAGTGCGATAACACTTGATGACACCCCTTCTGACGATCCCCGCAGGATGGATCAGATCTGTGGATTGAGCATAATGGATCGGAGTCCGTTCCATTATGCTCCCCAATCCACAGATCTAATCCATCCTGTGGGGATCGTCGCCATGCAACCTATACGGGGTGACACTGGACCCACTCCACGAAAAGGCAAGTTGTAAAGCAAGACGACGATCCCCGCAGGATGGATCGGATCTTCGGATTGGGGAGCATGATGGATCGGACTCTGATCCATTATGCTCAATCCGCAGATCCGATCCATCCTGTGGGGATCGTCGGCTTGCTTTACAACGTACCTTTTTGTGGAGAGGGTCCGCTGTCACCCCGTTTGGTAGGTATCAGCCAGTGCAGCGTGCACCCCCCGCACCTGCGTAGGGACACCACTGGCTGTTGTGCCACGCAGGGAACACAACAGTGTGAACTTAGCCTTATGCCTCCCTTCTCTAACCGCCAGTGCTCTTCTCCATTCCTGCTATGTGGGTGGGCCCTCAACATCTTGGCACCTTTGGTCCTAGATTGGAAGTATTGATGTTATCAGGGGGGCACACAACTGTAATGAGGAGTGACTTTGTGGGACCAGTCATATGGCGGGTAGAAAGCCTGAGGAAGCAAGGAATAAAGTTTCTGCCTGTTTCTTATACCCTAGACTAAGCAAGCATTTACCCTTGCTAACCAGGGATGAATCCTAAAAAGATACTTATATTTAAAGCAGCACTAAAGTCAAAGACAAAAATGTAATATATTGCAGTTTACTAATCCTTAGATGTGGTGACTGCATTAGTTTTCCTTTTTTGGCTTTCTTTTATTTTACCTGGTGATCCTGCCAGTAACACAATTCCTGCCTTAGGGGGTCTGCATTCTGGATGAAGTAGTAAAGCAGGCATCTTTGGACAGCAGCATAGTTAATCTGGGGGGAGCTTGATTTTAGGTCCCTTTCACACAAAAGGTCTGATCAGGTCCACCTATCAGTTTTTCAAGTGGATCTGATTGAACTCTCTATTCGCCCCTATGGAGCACAGGGTGTAAACGGACTTGTCTGTTTACACCCGCCTAACTCCAATCCAATGCTGTCCACTAAGAAAAAAAAAATGGATCAGTTGCTGGCTGTCTAGATGGATCGGATTGGAGGGCAGCCAGGTGTAAAGAGACAGCAGAGTCTGTTTATACACAACCACCCATAGAGCAGAGCAGGCTCTGTCCATGTCCGCTGTACATTAACTGAGTGGACACAGACCTGTCATCTCCATGCTTTGCTTTGATCAGCAGGGAATCAGTGGTCAGATCCTCTGCTGATCCAGTTAGTCTGCTTCACGTGAAAGCGGCCTTAGACTAGCAGATTTAGATGGACTTGACCTACAAATTGAAGCTAACACTTTCTAAGCAGTTACAGCAAACAGTTTTTTTTCCTTTTGGGTTAAAGATTTTACATAAATAAATAAATGCTGATCATTGTAAGCACCCCTGTCAGTGATCAATGGTTTGGCTGGATCACCCGGTGAACATAAAGGGAAAAAGCCTAAACAAAGAAAACTTATATATATAAAAATACAGCGCTGTAAAATGATCAAATCATGCAAATCAACACAATAATAGTCCTGAAAAGGTGCTCAATAATTCCCAGTGCCAATGGAAAGAATGCAAACTAACCAGAAACGCATTTAAAATACGCATGTGTGTAAAAAAACCAAGTAAAACATATAATCAGGTGGCAAGTGAAAGTGACCCACTGACCCTCTTAAAATTATAGGTGGCCACCGGGCCTCCACATGGCACCGGCGGCGTAGTGTCAACGACGTCCACAGGCTCCTGCTGACGCGTTTCGTGCGCAAAGTCCTTGCTCTACCTCAGAAGAAGTGCGTGCGCACGAAACGCGTCAGTGGGGCCTGTGGACGTCTTTGACACTACGCCGCCGGTGCCATGTGGAGGCCCGGCGGCCACCTATAAATTTAAGAGGGCCAGTGGGTCACTTTCACTTGCCACCTGATTATATGTTTTACTTGGTTTTTTTAAATAAATTGAAGTAATATACTACACTATGAGTATCTCTCTGTGTTCTCTGTGAGGGGCCTTTCTCCCAACTTCACAGCCACAGAGTGATTTCAATCCCAGCCCTGGTTCCATTGAAGAGGAATATCCTATCCTGGGAGCTTCCTAACCTGCAGGATTTCGTTTTCCTACAGGAGGGCGTCATCGTCATCCATTTCAGCACATATCCATTTTCTGACCAGAGGGAGAGAGGGGAATCTCCAGGATTTCTTACACACATGCGTATTTTAAATGCGTTTCTGGTTAGTTTGCATTCTTTCCATTGGCACTGGGAATTATTGAGCACCTTTTCAGGACTATTATTGTGTTGATTTGCATGATTTGATCATTTTACAGCGCTGCATTTTCATATATATATGTTTTACTGAGGATTTTTACATGCGTTTATCCTGGATGTTCAGCTGGTGTTTCTTTGAGAGCGCTCACTGTGTGTCCTTTACCTATACAAAGAAAACGTATGCAGCCACCACATCTAAGAATTGGTAAGCTGCAATATAATACATTATTACCACTTTAATGGCTGACCAGAAGTTCAACCTTAGCAGCATTTTTACATAAATACTGTAGTTTGTTCAACGGCTGGAGGACCTGTTTAAAACAACTGAATATTAAACAGAGTTCTTTTCTTTTAATTAGGGATTTGTTGACAGGCAATTTCTGTAAGAGTGTACATTAGGAGGCTACTTATGTATACATTAGCAATGATATTATCTCTCTTGCAGCTAATTAATTGTTATTATCTTCCATTTAGCATCTGGAACGCTGGATTCCCAGCTCTCAACCATGCACTATCTGCATTTGTCTGGATAACAGGATGATTAACTGCTCACCCAAGCCGTGCCCAACCGTCGAACGTAATCCAACCAATACATATCTGTTTCTCAGAACTCCTGGTTAAGTGATGAAGTGCTAACAGCCTATTAATGTCTCATTTCATTTCAGCAATCACTTGTGGCCCTTGTGAGATTCCAAAGCTGAAGAAGACTTCCGATCATTGCTGCCCGGAATATGAATGTGGTGGGTACTCTTATTAAACCCTTTCAATGCTGGATGTGCTTGGTGCTGTGTGTCAGATGGAATTTGTGTTGCATTCAGGTCTCCTCTGTGTTATCATGAAATCATGTAGAGACACTACCCGTAGCATGGGACTCATTCAGGGGTGTCACCATCTATGATGGGCCCCCTTAGCAAAATCTTTACAACTGAACCAAAGGCAAATAGATAAATATACAGATAAAATACACATAAGAGAGCTCTGGTACCCATCAAATGATTTTTATTTCTCTATACTCGTTTCTCTGCCACACTACACACGCCTATACTGTAAATAGGTAAGTAATACTAAAAGGTCTCCTTCCTGTCCCCAGCATGTGACTGGACAGTGAATAGAGAAGCAGCACAGTACGGAGTTAATCTCTCTATCACTCTTTTCTCTCCTCCTATCAGCATGTTCCTTGTTAGCACATGAACTGATGAACTCCTTGTGCTGCTTCTCCCTCTCGCAGACTGAGCACTGCTGTACAGTGGGCTGCAAGATTTTAATACAGAATCAAAATATGACACTTTAGTGTTTTATTAAAATAGATTTGATTATGTACTGTAGTATATCTAAAGGCAAAACTTTTTTTATTTTTGCTTGGAGTGGGGGAAGGTCAGTTTTTCATTTTGCATCTGTGTCCAATTAGGGAGATTTCCCTTCACTTCCTGTTATGTGGACTCAACGGGAAAGGAAGAGATCATTCCAATGTGTGGGAAATCCTTTCTGAAGCTGCATTCACACTAGGAGTTTGCGTAACACGTGACAACACACAGAAAACAAGCGCTTTGTGCTTGCGTTGCTCTTGCAGTGCTATTGATAATTGCACCCCAAGCGCAGTTAGCAGACATGTAGTTTGCTACGCAGGAGATGCTCTACAAACATGCCAAAATGCGCACTGAAAAACTTGCTATGCTCCACACCTGAAAATGTTCCAAAGAATTGACTGTTTTATGCGTGACGAGCAGAAACGCACAAAAAATGAGAGCTGGAACACAACTTGGAGTACAATTTGGTGAAGCTACCCTGCTGCTTATTGTTATCTTTGCTGGAGGCTCTGACATGAGGAAGCAAAGCCCTGCCTCTACCAAGATGGCCATACAAAGACACAGTGAAGAGCAAGGCATAATAAGTGTTCGGGAAATATCAGCTGCAAGGAGACTAGCGCAGTGCAATGCATCTGCGATTTCCCTGGGTTAGCTGTTCTTTGCCATAGACTTCTATTATATCCTGCAGGTGTGGTGCACTTTCTGAAAGCACACCAAAACGCCTGCATTCAGGAGTTTTGGTGAGCTTTCAGAAAGTGAACCACACCTGCAGGATATAATTGAACTCTATGGCAAAGTGCTGCAAACCCACAGCTACAGGTACACTGCACTGTACCCTGGATGTGGGTAAACCGCAGCGCATCACTGTGAAAGCAGCCCTATAATATCATGCCCAGTGTATTGCTTCACACTGACCTAAAGTTATCTTCTTTCCTGCTGCTGGCACCACTCTGGAGACCGCTAGCCGGGATAAGAGGTGGAGTGCAGTTGGTATCACTCCGCATGGGACATGGGCCAGCACTACAGAGGAGGCATTGGCCTCCTCCAAGTAGCCCTTGCTCCCTACTACAGCTCCAACTTTACAAGTAGTCCCTCTGCATTGCACTCTGTTTGATGCTCTGGGATGGCAGGTCAGCAAGCCCAGACCACGATCTACCAGTCACCTGGCCGTAACCTACTGGTAGATCGCAATCTACGGGTTGCTGAACCCTGATATAAGCTATGAAAAGCTGCCTGGGAAATGTTATTTATATGTCCAGAGTGGGAGGCTACTCCTTCCAGAGAAGATTCTCTCCATAAACGAGAATTCGGCCTGCAGAAATAATAAGTAGAAACACCAGTTTTGGGTGGATAACCGTATTATTTTCCTTATACAATACGTTCATATTGAATCATCCAAAAATTTCATATCTCCCTCCCAGGTTATAAAACACTTTGTTTTGTTCAGTCATTGCTGTGGGTTCGGAAATGTCTAGGCTTTGGCAGATGCAGAACGCTTCCACCGTAATATTTCAGTGGAAAATATTTTTTGTCATTAGAACTGACTCAGTGTCTATCGTGTGCAGAGGATTCCAAGAATGACACGTCAATCGCTAAAGCACGCCAAACACTAATTCCACTCAGATAATAAAGTAAAATCTGTTGTCAATGTGTGTGGCTTTTGTTTGTTTGACATCCAGTTTGTTTCATAATTTTTTTTTAGAAATACCTTCAGGCCAGCGGAAAAATGAGAAACCTTCTGTACCTGTCTGCTAAAGCGCAGGGTCCCAAATGTCAGATAGTTGCGGTTTTGGGAGTATTAAAAGGCAAGGTTCTCACTGAAATCTAATCAGTGTTATTAATTGTATGTAGACCCCAAACAGTGATTGTGGGACCTTCTTCGGGGTCCTAATTCCACAATTTGCTGGCCCTTTGTCTAAACCATAAAGCGTAGGTGGTTACTCTATTACTAAACCCAGGACCCTGCATTCACTATATCCAGTCTCCCACAGTACACAGAACATGGAAGTGCAATTATTTTTGTAAATATAAACTGCTAAATACCTTTTCTCATCAGCAGTTAGAGCAGTCTTGTGACTTTAGTAAAGCACATGTTAAAGCTTGTAGGAGGAGTTTTATTTCTGCTCTAGGAGGATGCATAACCCTTGACCCTCTGTATGGACAGTGCTGATTGGCCCTGTGCTGATCACGTGCACTCCCCCAAGAAAAAAACAACCTCTCTAGCAATACACACTAAACTGAGTATGTGCATGTGGCTACGGGTTCAATGTCAGGTGGACATTTGAACAAAAGGAGGGGCAGAGAAAACAGGTTCAAATGGCCTTTTTACACAATGCAGAGGATTAACCCCTTAGGTTCCACAGTATAACAAGCATGCTTTACTGCATATACAGACTGATTTTACTGTTGTGGGTTTAGTAACACTTTAACAAATAGTTTTTTTTTCTTTTTATAGAAGGTATGACTTTTTTGAGTTTGTTTTTAGAGTAGGTTAGTTTATTTCATGCTGTGTTCTTTGTATTGCTTTCCTTTTTTTGTATTTGATCTTTTTTGTGTATTGATTCTTTGACTGCTTTACTTTGCTTTTTTTTATTTATTAACTGTAGAAGGTAAACATGCATTTTTAAAAATTTTTAGCAGTGGGCTTAGAGTGTTGACCTTTAAAAAAAAAAAGAATGAAAACGTGAACTAACACCCTACATTCTCCCCACCCCCCCCGGTCCCCTCTGCACTGACCTCCATGGGTGATACAGGTTCACTTTAATGCAGCCCAGAACAATGATAATGAGGTTTGAAAACTGTGCTGATCTTCCTCTTCTTTCCGATGCGATGCCAATGAAACTGTATCACCCATTGAGGTAAGTACAGGGGTTAGTTGTTTTTTTTTTAAATTTTTCTTTGAAAAGGTAAAATAACACTTAAACGATTTACAACGTGTGCAGCTCCTTCATGTAGTAAAGATTGTTCCTGCAGTTTCCCAAATCCCTGAATAGCTGGCCGCTTTTCCAGTTTCCAAGGGTGCACCTTGGCTTGCGGGGACCTTTGGAGTCACCCTATTGTGCGTGCTCTCAGGAAAGGACTACATGCTGGTGTAAGCATACTGGGGCTAGGAATAATGGGACAAGTAGTCGTGAGGAGGGGGATCATATGTGACCTGTGATGAAGCAGTGGTGTGCGCTTACCTATAGAAAGTTCAGGAAAGTGGAGCAGAGAAGGCAGGATGCTGCCACCTTTAGCAACATAGCAGTATAAGTCTTTCTGAGCCTTTTTTTAAACTATGAAGTTATTTTCCAGTGCAACAATTATATATTCCAATATGTTTCTAAAAAAGAAACTTTGGTGCTACTTTAAATAACAACAAATTTCTAAACGTCACCTTAATTTTCCTTTTCTTATTGACTCCCATGCATTTTGCCAAAATTACAAAATTGTGCTCCAAATTAGGTTTCCCAGGGAATTGAAAACTCTCAATTTTAATCAGTATGAGGAACCTCTGATCAGTGTGAGGAAGATCAGGTCATTTGCTGCAGGAACCTCAGGTCAGTGTGACCGCCCCTACTGGCTCTTAAAGGATCACCTTTTCACAAAAAATCTAAATGCACATTTTTTTGCAGATAAAAAAAATGTGCATTTATTATTTTTCGTGTTAGGAGCCTGTAAAGCATTGCTCCAGCGATCAGCGGATCGCTGGTGCCATGCAGGTGTCATGCAGACTGTCAATACTTGCTGACTTTTTTGTGCTGAAGACCACACTGGACTGACTGGATCAATTGTAATTGTAGGGGGTTAGTTGGGTGGCGGGGTGGAGCGATGTCCCTCCAGTCGGTTGTACTCAATGGTGGATACTGGCGGTAAACCCTCTTAGGGTTCGGGCTGCTGCCTTTCCGGTACGGCCTTAAGGTTCCACATGTGGACTTGGAATAATAGACAAGAAGGAGCTCCCAAAGTCCAAAAGAATGCACTTTTGATGGAAGATTAAGAAGCATTTATTGAGTATATCGACAATTACATCAAACCAACGTGTTTCGAGAGAAAAGACTCTCTCGTCTTCAGGGCTGTTGCTGCAGGCTATTAAATGGGAAATATTCCCACACTGGTTATATATTTTCCAGGTTTCAAAAGAAAAAAAGAGTGATGGCTGTCATTGCAGGGGCAGAGATGTGGGTGACAGCCATCACTCTGTCAGTTTTTCCTCCGAAACCTGGACAATAAGTTCCTGGATCCAGAAATGCAGCCTGCTCCTATCTTTCTGTTTGGGCTGACAACACAGTGCCACAGTGCCTGAAATGAAATCCCAGCTATCATTGCTAGCCCTGCCTGCTAGACTACAGAACTCTGACCGCCCCCCCACCTCTCTGTGTCCTGCTCCACTTGAATACATTTATTTAATTCCCAGTAAAATAGTGCTGCTGCCTTGAATCCCAAGAACCTGTCCACACACTGTGTGTAGGGAAGGGGCTCTTAGCAGATGTAGTTCTGGATGCATGCTTACATCGTTAGAAATTGACCTCCCAGCAGTTACCCCTGCAAGAACTTCACAAGCCTGGCGATGACATTACAGGGAGCAATAAGTCGGTTTTTTTACTACAGGAACAAGATAAAAATCATGCTGGAATTTGCTCTAGTCTAAAGGGGGGGGGGGGGGGGGTCTGGGGGTAATTTGGGTAATGCCTGGACATACACTTTGGGGTTGATTTACTAAAATTAGAGTGCAAAATCTGGTGCAGCCCTGAGTAGAAACCAATCAGTTTTTTTAAATCTTAATTAACCACTTGACCCCCAGAGGATTTACCCCCCTTAATGACCAGGTCTCTTTTTGCTACTCGGCGCTGCACTAATTCAGCTGGTAATTGCGCGGTCATGCAATGCTGCACCCAAATGAAATTTACGTCCTTTTTTCACACAAATAAAGCTTTCTTTGATCACCTTTGCGCTTTTTATTTTTCACGCTTTAAACAAAAAAAAGGCCAAAAATTTTGAAGAAAAACAATATTTTTTACTTTCAGCTATAAAAAATAAATAGTAAACTCAAAGTTGGTTATAAATTTAGGCCAAAATGTATTCTGCTCCATGTTTTTGGTAAAAATAATCCCAATAAGTGTATATTGATTGCTTTGTGTGAACGTTATAGCGTCTACAAACTATGGTATAGATACTGCAATGTACGCCATTTTTTTGCTATACAGCGCTGCACTAGTTTAACGGACAATTGCGCGTTCATGCAATACGGTACATAAATGAAATCCTTTTTTTTCCCACAAATTGAGCTTTCTTTCGGTGGTATTTCATCGCCTGTGCGGTTTTTTATTTTTTGCGCTATAAAAAAAAAAGGCTGACAATTTTGAGGGAAAAAAAACAATATTTTGGACTTTTTGCTATAAAACATGTCCAGTAAAAAAAAATGTAAAAATCAAATTTAGTCATAAATTTCTGCCAAAATGCATTCTGCGACATGTCTTTGCTAAAAAAAAAACCAATACGTGTAAATTAATTGGTTTACGTGAAAGTTATAGCGTTTACAAATGGTGGCAGAGATACTGGGATTTTTATTTTTTTTATATACTTTTTATATACTAATAATGGCGGTGATCAGTGACTTATGGCGGCGATCAGCAACTTATCGTGGGACTGCGGGACTGTGGCGGACATTCTGACATTGGGGGGTAGTGACTTGGGGTCACTGACATCCCCAGTGACACCAATACAGTGATCAGTGCAACAAAAAAAAAAACTGTCACTGTACTAATGGCACTGGGGAGGAAGGGGTTACGTTTATTATTCAGGGAAAGGGTTAACTGTGTGAGGGGGAGTGTTTTACTAGGAGGCTGGGGTGTGTACTGCAGGGAACACCGCAGATCGGGAGAGAGAAACGTTTCTGTCCCGATCAGCATGTCCTGGAGCTGTCAGGGAACTGAGAGAAAGCACAGCTTCTGCAGCTGTACTCTCTGTCAGCGATTGCCACCGATCGCCGGGACATAGCCGGTAACGACCGTCTGTGACCCGGCAACTGACATCCGCGGCTGTGATTGGCGGGACAGGGTAGGGCGGCGGCGCGCCTCGCGCGCGCCCCCTACCTGTTTACAAAACACACGTTTTAAAACGTGCTTTTGCCCAGCCGTGCCGCCGTGCCGCCGTATTTATACAGTGGCTGGGCGGCATGTGGTTAAACAAGTTAGAAACTGATTTGCTACCATGCACAGCTGCACCAGATTTTGCACTCTCCAGTTTTAGTAAATCAATCCCTTTCATATAGCCCATCCCCATCATTTAGGTGCATGACAGCAAATATCTGTTAGTTTTATTTACCTAACAAAACAACCTAGGCTAGGAAGCATCATCCAGGGGTCTCCTTTCATCATGACTCCAGGGGGCTATTATTCTCTTTAACCACTTCATGTCCGGACACTTTTATCCCCTTCCTGTCCAGGCCAATTTTCAGCTTTCAGTGCTGTCGCACTTTGAATGACAATTGCGTGGTCATGCAACACTGTACCCATATTAATTGTTTAGCATTTTTTTGAGACAGATAAAACTTTATTTTGGTGGTATGTATTCACCACTGGGATTTTTATTTTTTTGCTATATAAAATGAAAAAGTCCAAAAATTTTGAAAAAACAGTGTTTTTCTTATAAAATTTTGCAAATAAATAATCTTTTTTCATAAATCTTGGCCAAAATGTATTCAGCTATCTTTTTAGTAAAAAATAACCCAAATTAGTTTATAACTAAAAATTATAATTTTTTCAAAAAGTTTTTTTGGACATTCTTATTTTATTTCTTTATATTATTATTTATGTTTTTTGGTTTTATTTTAACATACTGTCACCCTAGCAGTACAGTGTCACAATAGTGACACTGTATTACTTGTGGGGGGTGATGAAGATTTTTTTTTTTACACTGATTGCTTTTACACCCATAAAGGCTGTAAAAGCAATAATTTCTCCTTCTCTCTGGCTGCATTCTTGCAGCCATTGAGAAATACTGTGAGAGCTGTGATTGGTCACAGCTTGTCACATGGTACAACATGGTACAGACTGTTGTGAGTAGCCTTGTACCATGTGACCTCTGTGATCATTCACAGATTTTACACGTAGTAAGCAATGATGTCAGGAGTGATATCTTGCTTACACCTATTCATGTGATCACTGATTGTCAAATCAGTGATCACATGATCGGGACGTCACACAGAGGTCCCGTACAGTAATCGGTGTTCCGCTGTGTCTGGAGGACACAGCAGGCACCGGATCGCGGTGCCGTGCGCTCCCAGGGAGCGCGCACAATACATAATGGCGGACACGGTTTATGAACGCCAACCCACCCCTGCACTGCCACCACCTGCCCGTTTATATACAGCGGCCGGACGGGAAGTGGTTAAAGGGTTGGTTCACCTTTATCAAAAAATAGTCTATACAGGTAAGGAGCACCTGTAGATAAAAACAAACGATGCAGCCATAATTGAATAATGCACTTGCTATAGGTATAGGCCTTTTACATACCTCCTGAAGCCTGGCCAAAAACTTCCACAGATGGCATCAACCTGTCCTACCTTGTTGCTAGAATGTTGCTAAGAGATTCCTAGCCATTACTGCTAACTTCCATCATCACAGGAGCAAGCTCTCAAACCCCTGCACGTGTGTGGTGTCCACTATCTCCTCCATCGCAGCATCAGTGGGTTGAGAGCTCATGTGAAAGGGTTTAAAGTGGCTGAGTGTTTTATCAATGTCCTAGCAACAAGACAGGATGGGAAGATGCCATCTCTGGGAGTTTCGAGAGGTATGTCAATGGCCTTCACCTATATCAATGGCATTACTTTAATCAAAGCTGCACAGTTTGATGTTATGTGCATGAGCCCCTTACCTGCATAGGCAGTTTTTGGTAAGGGTGAACTAACTGTTTAAAATTTACCCTCCCCCACTTTATCCAAAATAAACATTTTTTTTATCCTTTGGTATTTATAAAAGTTAACTCCTTGGCACCGGCACTACACAAATAAGGAGCTGGGCCTTGACACCAAGAGGCCGCAAATTTTCGTACCCAATATAAACAAACATATGCCATTTACCGGTGCCTCACGGAAAGGTCCCAATCCCTACTTGTAATTGGGAGCTTTCCAATCAGGTGACTGCTGTCACAGCCAATCACAGTGGTTATATGACCCTTAATCCCGCCCTGCTTCCTGGCTTCACAAACCTCTTAAAGGGCCAGGAGGCTCCGGCACCAAGGGGTTAACATAAAATGAATATTGTTAAGATTTATTCAGAATTGTTTTATGCACCGAACAATTCACATTCATTTCTATAAAGTGCACTTTTTTAAACACCGAACCCTTGTATGCAAATTGTGTTATTTTTCTCATTATAAGCTGTCGGTTCAAGTATGCGAATCACTGAGTCACTTTGTACATTCCGTCAGTCTGGCAGGAATATATTATTCTATTTTCTCTCTTCACATGTTTTCTTTGACAATTCATAATCATTTCTACACCTCTGAATATCCTCCTGCTTTGTTACTAAAGACTTGGGCGAGACTTTAGAGAAGGACCTGAGGGTAAGGTGAGGATTTGTGTTGTATTTTATAAATTTTGAAAGGTTGCATCCTGTTCCTACAGGTTCATATTATTGGGCTACCTGATGTTTTTCCCATCTGGGCCGGTAAACAGACCTCTTCCCGCAGGGTTGCCATAACAATGAACAAAGTAATATTATTTGGTAATTTAGAAAATCACTCCTTACATACAAACATTTCAGAAGTCTTCCTTAATCCCTTTATTTGACAAATTTTACCTTCCTTCCTCTCAGATCTGTTGGAAAATGTTTGTCATGTAGACATGCAGAGTCCTAATCTATTGGCGAGGTGTGAAACTGAGGCCCTCCAGGCTCTACTTGTTGTGTTGGGGCTTTGTTGAGGACTGTCTTTGAGCCTAGCTGGATTATGCTTCTTTGATTCTTTGTATGTTTTACACCAGATTTACTTCGACACCTTCATATCCTTCCTAAGTGCCCATTCCACTTTGGTTTTTCAAGAGATTAACCCCAAATGAGACAGTTGTGTAGAAACAAACAGCTAAGAGGGTACTCCACTAAAGACATCCCAGCACTACAGTGTCCTGTGGTGGTCCATGGGGGAAACAGGGATGAATGGTAACCTTACTTTAAAGCTGAACTCAAGCCTTCACTTCAATCTTGCACAATTGTACAGGCTGCTCCCCCTGTGCTGCGAATGTTCCTTCTAATTTCTCTGCACACTGTGAACTGCAGTAAGCCAGATAGAGCCTCATTTTCTGGCTGGAGGACATCCACCATCATCTAGCAGTTTCCTTCCTGGCATGACTGTCCCTGGCCCACCCCTTTTATTCACTGGATTTTTGTTCTTTCATTCACTGAGGCTCAGCATCAAATGTGAACATTACGTAGGGTGGTCTACATGTAAATGCAGCCTGTCTAGAAACACTCACTCTTCCACATCGACAGCCACCCATCAAGGCATTTGGATATTTCCATAACTCTTCCCAAGAGCCAACCCACTGCTTGCACCAGAGCTGAGGGCTCTTGTGAGGAGTACTGAGGAAAGGCACTGTGATGTTTTCAGAAAGCTATGTTCAGCACCCTTCCCACCCCTCCCACCAGCCATGATCTACCGCCATTGAATACAGAAACACAGAGACCCAGTGATGACATTAATGGGTCTAAAATAAGGTATGTATTGAAAATGGAAAGGTTATTTTTTTTAAATGGCATTAGCTTTTTAAATGAGGGGGAAAATTACACAGGGAAAGCAAAATATAAGCGGATCCAACTTCAAGCAATAGAAAATTACAGCTTGAGAATTACACAGAGGGAACGTCCCAGGATGTGTTGGTCTAGTTAGCACAGATAATTTTCTTTGAGATTCAGTAATGGAGGGGCTGAAAGCTGTACACTAAAAATACATAATTGCTTATAAATCCTCTTCACATATTTATACCTGTTTTTGGGGCACCAGCGGTGTGGATATAATCCCAGTCCTGCAGTAATTTGATTATGAAAAGTGTGCGCACATTTGTATTAAAAATAAAGTTATTCTTTGACAATCTTAATCAATGCTATGAGACCCAAATATGTCATTTTGTTAAAAATGCTGTTTTTTTTTTCCTTTTACAGTTTGTGATAACAGTACCTGTAACTTACCTCCTATACCACACTGTGAAGATGGAATGGTACCCGTACTTACCAACGCTGGAGAATGCATGCCAATCTATAAATGTGGTACGCTTTATATATATAATTTATCTTTATATACCCTAGAAATATACCAAAACATTTTCTAGACAGAAACATTAGAATTAAATATTAACTTCTCTAGAGTAATGATGTCATAATCTCAGTGTCTTGTTATGATCACCATGAGGAATGTTGATGAACAGTTAAGAGACCACTGCACCCAAAAGTGATATTTTAGCTATAGGTGGAGCCTTGTGAGTTGGGTTGGTCCCTGGTTGCCTATATGCCTTGGATACTCCAACAGTGAGATCTCCTTTCCATAATTTCCTTCTGTGGTTCTGTCCATTTAGGAGCTTTGAGTGTTCCTGCCAACCTTTGCGTGTACCAACTCCTCCTTTTACATTCTGCATGCTTTAAAATAAATGAATCCAGCATAAAGAGTGGGAACCCTTTATAATGGGCACAGCATGTGTGCAGACCAAGGAACTTAGCCCACCATGGATCACTTTTCAGAGGAACAGCAGTTTGGCTGAATGTACGGATTAGCCTTTAGGGGCTCTGCTGGAAAGAAAGCAGTGAATCACTTTTCAGAGAGCGTTTGATAGACAGTGAAGAGGTGACATGTTGTCTCCTCACTGCCTGTTTTAGCCCTCAAAATGCTGACCACCACACTGATACTGCTTGTATAGCACACAGTCGTTTGGCAGTTGCCCCCAGTCACTTGAACACGTGGTACCGCAGTTCCAGCAAGGTAAAATTTCACCAGCACACCGAGGATCATCAATATGGGTCCAAACGTTTTAATAAACGATCACATAGTTACAGCAAGGCAACATTTGGGAGTCTCACAGGACCCCTTCATCAGGCAGGTCACATGCCTGATGAAGGGATCCTGCGAGACTCTGAAACGTTGTCTTGCTGTAACTATATGATCGTTTATTAAAACTTTTGGACCCATATTGGTGATCCTCGGTGTGCTGGTGACATTCTCCCTTGCTGATTCTGTTCGGTTCCAGCCGACGGTCACTGCAGCACCCACTTATACACACAGCCAGGGGCGGACTGACCATTTGGAAACTCGGGCACTGTCTGAGGGCCCAGGGTCAGTAGGGGGCCCCATGAGATGCCCTTGGTACCTTTTTCATAGTAAAGAAAATGTATACGAGCGCACCTACAAAAGTAGAATAGCAGCTGTGCACCAGGTAACCATAAACCCCATAAAATAATATAAATCAGAAGCAGCGCTAAAAAGAGAAATACTATAAATGAAAAAAAAAATAAATAAAATGAAACAGTTCATGTGGTGATATCAAGGTGACTTCAAGTGCTCTCATCTATTCATATCTCCTGATAATAAGGTGCTGTGCGGTATAGTGCTGAAGAAATGCACACTCACCAGAACGCACAGTTTAATGGGCGTTTATAAATATAAATTTCCCTTGGGTTCATCAGCTGGTCAAGGTAAGGTCTGCAATGCGATAGCCTCCCTCCAGTGATCCTGGATATTACTGTTGGGACATCAGGGTGATCCCTTGGATGGTGGCCTGTGGACTGCTCCTTAATGATTGTATACGTTCCTTCCCCAGCAGTGAGATGAGTGACTGTGAATTGATACTCCACAGGGGAGTCAAAACAGAGACATCTCCATAGTGTAGTAGTTAAGTAATTTATTCCAGGTAAAACGAAGATAATAAAAACAGCAGTGTGCGAGAAAAAACTCATGGACTAACCATCCAATGTTAAAGATGGCCGCCGGAGCTCCACGATGCTCCGGCGGCGTGACGTCACGGCGTTCCTGGCTCCTCCTACGCGTTTTGTGCACACGCACGTCGTCTGGGGGGGGATTTGCCAATATACATACATTTTGTTTTCCCGATGGGATTAGTAGTTTACACAAGTAAGATCAGATAAGGTTTATGCTTCCAGCTTAGCTCACAGTAAGTGACAATGACACTGCATTTCTGGCCAGATCAGCAGGTATTTTCTGAAAATGTTCTTAGCTTTAGGTGGAAGGCAAGTCAAAACCTAACTAAAACTAGCCATAGATGAAATTTAGCCACTTCAGCAGGAAACAGATGAATTGGCAAATCCCCCCAGACGACGTGCGTGTGCACGAAACGCGTAGGAGGAGCCAGGAACGCCGTGACGTCACGTCGCCGGAGCATCGTGGAGCTCCGGCGGCCATCTTTAACATTGGACGGTTAGTCCATGAGTTTTCTCGCACACTGCTGTTTTTATTATCTTCGTTTTACCTGGAATAAATTACTTAACTACTACACTATGGAGATGTCTCTGTTTTGACTCCCCTGTGGAGTATCAATTCACAGTCACTCATCTCACTGCTGGGGAAGGAACGTATACAATCATTAAGGAGCAGTCCACAGGCCACCATCCAAGGGATCACCCTGATGTCCCAACAGTAATATCCAGGATCACTGGAGGGAGGCTATCGCATTGCAGACCTTACCTTGACCAGCTGATGAACCCAAGGGAAATTTATATTTATAAACGCCCATTAAACTGTGCGTTCTGGTGAGTGTGCATTTCTTCAGTATATTTCTTCACTATACCGCACAGCACCTTATTATCAGGAGGATATGAATAGATGAGAGCACTTGAAGTCACCTTGATATCACCTTTTTCATAGGCTTTTTTGAGTTTGGGCAAGTACACAGGGGTCCCATGATCCCCTATTGCCCGGGGGGCCCCATGAGTTGTCAGTCCGCCCCTGCACACAGCCATTTTTAACGCAGGAACGTGTGCGTTTGGATTGTACACTTGCTTACTGCAGTTCCAGTCACAGGTACTGAATGCAAAATACTGTTTAATGTTTGCCTTGGCCGTGAAGCACAGCATCATGGCCATGGTATGTGTACAGTCCTGAGCAGCTGCATGTCCTAGTTTAGGTGGGCAGTCAGGGGGTGGTAAAATTGGGGCTGCTCAATTGCCTGTTTTTACCACCCTCCGGAAATCCTAAGAGATATAAGAAACCATTAGGTGGAACCTCAGCCTCCTCTCCCCTTCAGTGAACAAACTACAACATTGTCACAAGGTTAGAGAATGCAGTAGGGGTCAACAGACGTTTGTGAACAAAATCAGGAACTGCACAAGCACCATGATTTATATGCCTGTGCCATCTCAGAGCCAACATCAAAGTCCAAGTAGTAGATGATTACCATGGATGATGCCTGAGTAAAAATTATGCTGTCCTTCTGCCGAGAAAAGATGATGAAGGCATTGTTGGAGGGGCGCTGTGATATCTGTAAGAGGTAATATACAGTATATCTGGAATTGTTACACTTACACAATAATTATCATTCATGCACTTAAAATAAAAAGCAATGATAGGTTCAATTTAAATGTTACCTAAACCAATTCTTAGATGAAGTGGCTATATTTGGATAAGCAGTTTCCTTTCTTCAAGCCCTATTTTATCCTTCCAATCCTATGAATAACACATTTCCTATCTTAGGATGGATATACTCCCTCCTCCACTGTATCTATAAGGGGGGTCATGGTTGGCACCCACTGTGAAACATGTCTGCCTTTGTTCATCTCCAATATATATATATATATATATATATATATATATATATACATACATACATTTTGTTTTCCCGATGGGATTAGTAGTTTACACAAGTAAGATCAGATAAGGTTTATGCTTCCAGCTTAGCTCACAGTAAGTGGCAATGACACTGCATTTCTGGCCAGATCAGCAGGTATTTTCTGAAAATGTTCTTAGTTTTAGGTGGAAGGCAAGTCAAAACCTAACTAAAACTAGCCATAGATGAAATTTAGCCACTTCAGCAGGAAACAGATGAATTTCGATCCATCTTTGGGCAGGTTGGTTATACAGAAGTTGATTTATTGACCGCCTTCAGTACAATCAGCCTGTTGCTCTATGTCGTACAATCTCTGCCGCAGGCTATAGCCAGTAGCAGTGATCATTGTATTTTGATGGCAGGTAAACCTCCCACTGTCAGAATACATTAGCACATCAGGAGGGATTCCCCCATCTACACTGACTGTCACATGATCTCTCCAGTGCCAGCTTCAGTTTGACATAGCCAACAATGGCTGCAGAGCCTGGGTGATGATGTCAGCCATAGGCTTACTATGGGGCATCTGTTATTGACTGTCCATCCTCTATACTGAGGCCAGTGCTGTAAGCCAATCATCAGAATAGGTAAGTATAGGCATCTTTGCTTTTACAGGGTAGATCAATTAGGCTTAGAATTGGGTGGGAGAAGATTTAAGCTTATTTATTTATTTCAGGTACTTATATAGCGCCGCAAATTTATGCAGCGCTTCACATATATATTGTACATTCACATCAGTCCCTAACCCTCAAGGGGTGTACAATCTAAGGTCCCTAACTCACATTCATACATACACATATTAGGGCCAATTTAGACAGGAGCCAATTCACCTACCAGCATGTCTTTGGAGTGTGGGAGGAAACCGGAGTACCTGGAGGAAACCCACACAGACACAGGGAGAACATGCAAACTCCAGGCAGGTGGTGCCATGGTTGTGATTCGAACCAATGACCCTAGTACTGCCAGGCGAAAGTGCTAACCACTTAGCCAGGGTGCTGCCCCGCTTAATTAGGTCTTGACTTTCCTTCCACTTTAAAAAAAAAAAACTAATGCAGCCACCACATCCAAAGACTGCCATATCACATTTTTGTTTTTGGGTTTAATGATGTTTTATATTTATAAGTATTCCTGTATAGTGCTGGAAACCAATCATCAGAATAGGTAAGTATAGGCATCTTTCCTTTTACAGGGTAGATCAATTAGGCTTAGAATTGGGTGGGAGAAGATTTAAGCTTAGTTAGGCCTGGACTTGCCTTCCACTTTAAAAAAGAAAACTAATGCAGCCACCACATCCAAAGATTGGCATATCACATTTTTGTTTTTGGGTTTAATGATGTTTTATATTTATAAGTATTCCTGTATAGGTTTATATATGTGGATCATCACCACTCTAGAATATATTGTACCTCTGCGGGAATTATAAGTATACCTGACATCACCAAGAAGTTCTAAGTATTATAAGTATACCTGACATCACCAAGATGTTCTGTGATTATATAGGACTGCTGGACAAATGCTTGTACATGGTACAGAGTTCTTTAAAATGACATTATTTTACCTTTTTAATCTATCACTACACACACACACAATATATATATATTTTTTTTTGTGTGATTCTGCATTTATCCCCATTGATCTGGCTGGTATTATTTAGGTAAACCTAATACTTTAACTGCCATAAATAGGGATTTCTGGAAAAATCCATGTTCCGCTGCTTGTTACAGGGCTCCGTTTACTAAGAGGCATCTTTCAACAGTTGACCTTTTGGTTTGAATTCGCTTCATTTTATATGTTGCTGTGAAAAGCCTTCATTCCCTTTATCCCAGTGTATTATTCACCAAACCCCGGTTCCATACCACCAGCTTGGCTGAGGATTTGCTCCACACATTCCAATGCAGTGAGCTTCCACAGCGAGGCAATAACACCACGAGCAAGGCTTTTCACACGGGAAAGTTGGGAAAACTCCAGAGATCCTGGACCAGCGGACAAGCATATGTTACTGAGTGTACACTAGACTGGCTGTCAAATACTACAGCTGCTCCACCAGTCACACCTACTGAAAATGTTTATCTATGTATAAAATCGGGAACATTTTCAGCTTTGAAAGTCTGTGAAGCCATGAAATTGGAGCAAAAGGGAAGCTCTTGCCTATAGGAGACCCCAACTGGGCCTTATCTCTGACACTAATCAAGGAATTTGGTTGCTGTGGGCAACAGTTCCAATGATGACCTGGCGTACCTCCTAGATTTCAGAGACAGAAAACGCGATACTCTGTAAAGGCAAACAGTGCTCAGCCTGTGGCCCTCCAGCTGCTGCAGAACTACAATTCCCATCATGCCTCTGCCTTTGGGAGTCATGATTGTAACTGTCAGCCTTGCAATGTCTCATGGGACTTGTAGTTCTGTAACACCTGGAGGGCCACAGGTTGAGCACACATGGGTTACAGTATGATTGTCCTGTAAGATCTACCAACAACCATGTCATTGTTTTTATCTGATTGGATATAAAGGGCAGCTTAGTGGTAAATTCTTCTGCCTTGCAGCACAGGGATCCTCGGTTGAGTCCCACCCAGGGCACTGCCTGGAGTTTAAATGTTCTCCCTGTGCTTGTGAGATTTACTGCTACACTGCAAAGACATACTGGAAGATTGAAGTGACACAAAACTCTGGATTAACTACTTCAAGTCCGGACACTTTCACCCCCTTCTTGTCCAGGCCAATTTTCAGCTTTCAGCACTATCACACTTTGAATGACAATTGCGCGGTCATGCAACACTGTACCCATATGACTTTTTTAGCATTTTTTTGAGACAGATAAAACTTCATTTTGGTGGTATTTATTCACCACTGGTATGTTTATTTTTTTTTGCTATATAAATGAAAAAGTCCAAATATTGTGAAAAAAAGTGTTTTTCTTATAAAATTTTTCAAATAAGTAATCTTTCTTCATAAATCTTGGCCAAAATGTATTCAGTTATCTTTTTAGTAAAAAAAAAAACCCAAATTAGTTTATAACCAAAAATTATAATTTTTCAAAAAATTTTTCACATTTTTATTTTATTTTTTTATATTATTATTTATGGCTTTTTTTTTTTACATACTGTGACCCTAGTAGTACACTGTACTACTTGTGGGGGTTATGAAGATTTTTTGTGAATAGCCTTGTATCATGTGATCTCTGTGATCATTCACAGATTTCACGCGTAGTAAGCAATGATGTCATAAGTGACATCTTGCTTACTACTCTTCATGTGATCACTGATTGGCCAATCAGTGATCACATGATCGGGACCTCACACAGAGGTTCTGTACAATGATCGATGTTCCACTGTGTCCGGAAGACACAGCAGGCACCAGATCGCGGTGCTGTGCGCTCCCAGGGAGTGCGCACAAGCAGGGGGCGGGGAGGCTGTTTATAAATGGCCACCCGCCCCTGCATTGCTCCCGTCCAGCCGTTTATATACATGCGCCGGGCGGGAAGTGGTTAAAGTAGTTTTAACCAGGGCTTTTTTTCAGCAGGATCGTGGGGGAAAGAAGTTCCAGCACCTCCAGTACTCACTGTATGTAATGGTAAGGGGTGCTGGAGTATGCTGGAGGATCTATTGTTGCTGTCAGCTTTGGGATCTGTTGTCACTGAAGAGAATCACATTTTTTTGTGGTGGACTATTGTTGCTCGGGAGGTCTATTGTGGCTGGTGGGGGTCTATTGTTGATGGGGGTCAATCGTTGCTGGAAGGGTTTACGGTTGGGTCTACGGTTGATGGAGGGATCTATTGTTGCTAGCTGCTGAAGAGTCTATTGAATTTGGCTGCTGGGTGATCTGTTGTAGCTGCCGCGGGTCTATTGTTGCTGGGGTGTTATTTTATTTTGGGGACCCATTGTTGCTGGAGGAATTTTTTTGTTGTTGGGGGGGTCTATTGCTGCTGGCTGGCAGGAGGATCTATTTTTCTGCTTTTCTTTTTATCATTATCAAATTCTATACAAATTATTTAGCACCACAAAATGATACTTGGCTCTCTATTCTCTAAAAGGAGAGGTACTGGGAGGTGGGTAGGGGGCAAAGACAAGAAGTGACTCAGAAGGAGGGAGTTCCTGCACCTATTTTTTGAGAAAAAAAAGCCCTGGTTTTAACCCTCTACATATACCCAGTGAAGTGAGAAAAAGGCAGGAGAGAAGCGCCTCTAAGTGCAATATGTTTCTTTATTGAAGTATATATGTGTAGGAACACTCACATAGATAAGGTAATAGTAAGCATAAAAACCGTGGTTAAACAGTAGGGTGGTATCCGCTGTTCCCCTCCAGCTACCACGCTGCTCCAGCGGCAAGCTGAGCGCTCCACACCGCAGCAGATGACGGCTCTTCACCCTGGATACCACCCTACTGTTTAACCACAGTTTTTATGCTTACTATTACCTTATCTATGTGAGTGTTCCTACACATATATACTTCAATAAAGAAACATATTGCACTGAGAGGCGCTTCTCTCCTTCTCTCATCTACAGAGTCTGCTACAGCCTATTTGGAAGCTTTGCCCTCAGTGCTACACGGATCCCCACGCTCTACATAAAACAACCATAGCTACCACCATTACCCCATACCAAGATTACCAAGGACTTTCAGCAGTATTTGCGCTGATACACCCCCCTCATCTTTTCTGTACCCAGTGAAGTGACTGGCCTCAGGTCATAAACAGAGATGAAGCAAGTCCTCCTGCATGAGTTGTACCTGTTTATCTACAGCTGTCTGTCCCCTACATCCATTAAAAGTGCAGAATTTACACAAGATTTCTTGGCTGTGAAAACCAGGGGGCGGAGAGCTGAAGTTACGCTCAGTGAAGGGAGCTCTGAGAGCTGATTGGAGGGGAAGGGTCACCCCCCCCCCCCTCCACACAGCACACAGGAACAGAGCTGTGGCTATCAATCTGCTGGGGGTCTCTCCCCATGACCATTTTTCTCTTGGTGTCAGGTAAACCTGCCAGAAGTGACTCATGCTGATAGCAGAGATGAAGCAATAGACAGAAATTACACCTAGTGCACACATTCAATTCAAGTATGTATTCTTAACGTTTTTTTGCTGCTGTTAGAGGGTGGCTATGTTTGTTCTCCATGGTCCCACGGTATGTAGGAATGTAGACACTCTTACTTGCTCCTGAGACCAGGGACTATGGACTATGGGATCTGTAGTGTGCATAGAGCACTGCAACTAATGTGCACTGCTCTTTTCAAACAAATGGAAGTGAGAGGGAAAAAGAGAGACTTGGGAGCTCACGGAGGACAGTAAAAGGAGGCAGAAAGGCACAGTAAGAAACAATTTCATGAAAAATAAATAATAGGGCCATTAAAGTAGAATTTCAGGATAACCCTAAATAATATTAAACACCTATGTTTACTAACCTGTGTAAGAAAGACTGAAGTCACATGATCTGGCTCCCCTGTATCAGCCAGTGCTGCATCAGGGGAAAGGAGGAGCACCAACAACCGATGGGCCATAGTAAGCCTATGGGTGATCTCCCCACTCAAGTATTACCAGCCTCTCCCCTGCAGCTGGCTGCTGGCTGACATAGAGGAGATCATGTGACCAGACCAGAATGAAAATAGGTAAGCATATGAATCTTTCTTACAAACATTAGCAAGCATAGGTGTGAGGAGGGAGCAGGGAGTATTTGTAAGGTTAGTTAAGGTTACTTGGAATTCTACTTTATGTAGTGGATGTGTATGGATTATAGAAAATACACTATAGTTCATCCTACACTGTCTGTATGAAGTCTGCATGTTCTCCTGTATATGGATTTTCTCCAGTACTCCAGTTCAGGGCCACCAATAAGGGGGTACAGCCTGGCCCCTTGTACTGGGCCTGGGCCCCATCAGTTCAGCAGGGGGATTCAGGCAACAGGGGGAATCAGATCAGGGACTGAAGGGGATGATTGGTGCACTTGGGGGGGGGGGGGGTTCAATCACTGGAATCAGTATTCATTTATGGCTCCCTGCTGCAGCTGAGGGAGAGGAGGAGAAGTCAGCTTTCAGCTGCACTGTAGAAAGGGGAGCCATAGAAGGGAATCGGTTCCAGTAATTGCCCCCCTGCCTCACCAGTCATGCCCTCCAATCAATGATCTGATTCCCCCGGCTTGGGCATCCTTACCCTTCCGCTGGCTTTCATCTGCTACAGGGGGGGAACTACAGGGGATCGGTTCCAGTAAGTGCACCCCCTGCTACACCGATTATCCTATCCTGTCCAGGATCCCCTTCCCTGGGCTTTCTTTGTGCCCTTTTCCCCTAAAGCGCTTTTGGCGTCCCTCCTCTCCCCCCTCACCAGCTGCTGCGGAACACAGGGGATCATTTTCCTAGTGCAGTAAATATATTATATTTACCGACCCCTTACTTTCCTTTATGAACACGGTGAATTATCAGAATCAATTATTATTATACAGTATTTATATAGTGCCAACAGTTTGCTCAGCGCTGTATAATATAATAGGAGACAGTACACGAGACAGCACAGTAACAATACAATACAATACATGAGAGGTTCGAGGGCCCTGCTCCTTGGAGCTTACAATCTAGGAGGGAGGGGATAGTGGTACAGGAGGAAATAGCTGTGGGGGATGGAGTGGTAGGAAGAGTGGACGAGATCGGCAATTAAGTGAGGGCAGGCTTCCCTGAAGAGATGGGTTTTCAGAGTGCGCCTAAAGGTGAGGAGGGTAGGTGACAGTCTGATGGATTGGGGTAGTGAGTTCCAGAGGATGGGGGAAGCCCTGGAGAAATCACTCACTATGTTCATTCATAACTGAAGCATTGTAAACTGTGTTTACAATGCTTCAGTTTATGAATGTACAGGAGCCTCTGTACAGAGTGCTTCCTGTTCATTTACCTACAGTGCAGATGAGGCTGTAGAGAGAGGATCGGAGATCTATGCCCTCAATTCATTTCTCTTTCTCAAAAGTGAGACATCATGGGGCTGTTTAGACCAATAATATTTAACCAAAGCCCCCCCCCCAACAGGGCTGAGAAAAAAAAAAAATAATACAAAATGTAGAAAATAATAAAAAAAAAGTAAGGGCTCATTTACATGGGTTCTCTGACCCATACAGTGTAAATGAGTGGTTTGTTCATGCAGCTGGAGCTACTGGTTCCTTCATGGGGACATAGGGGCCGCAGGTCCTAATTGGACAGGTGTGTAGGTGCAGGTAAGACTGCCAGGTAGACTTTATGAGGCCCCGTGATCTCTAAAAGCAACACTGCTCCAGTTTTCCTCCAACACTCCAAAGATGTGCTGGTAGGTTAATTGACTCCTATCTAAGTTGGCCCTAAAGTGCTGAATAAATGATCAATAATCAATTTATTTAAATACCAATAATAATAATTCTACTAGTACTGGCACAAATGCAGAGTTAGAACCATGGTCAGGTCTATACTGTGTCTAAGGAGGAAAGGGCAACACATTTTATAAAGTCTAGAAAGCTAAAATTCCCATTCAGTTAAAGCTAACATGTTTCAGGGATTCAAAGGGTCTCACTTCATCAGGGTTTGGCAAATGCTGAAGAAAACACTGTATACTGGGCTGATTTTTAAGTAGATCTGGGGAAGGAATTAAAAAAAAAAAATGAAAGGATCTGTTGCAGATGCTGATTATGGCAAGCTAACAAGGCTTCTGGAGTAGATCCTTTTGATTGTTTTTAGTCACTCCTCAGATCTGCTCCATAAATATCAATCCGGTACAGGTTTTTCTTTTTTGGCTTATGGTATTGTTATTTGGGGACTGCGCACTCATGGGTTAAAACATGTTGACACATAGCAAAAATGTTAAACGTTATATTGTGTTTGTGTTCTCAGTTTTGATCACCTCTAGTCTCGACACCTTTCTGTATTATGTTTATAATTTCTAAAGTAATTTTATACCTCTAGCATATTTTTGTGCCCAAAACTCAGCTGGAATCACAAGAAAGTTGCAGAGAATTTTCTCTTCCAGAAGATGGTGCTGTTTCTTCTGTCTCAATGATTGTTTTCAAAACCATACCTTACTGTACTGTCTTAGGAGGCATCTGTCTAATATGTGTCTCATGTAGAGTAAGCAATGTAAAATTGTATATCATTAAACGTATGCAAACTATTCTGTAATATCTATATAGTACATGGCCCTAAATTATATTTTTGTGCTATTTTAGAGAACTTACAAGCGTATTTATGAGGGAAAAATTAAAATGTACAATGACCCACTAGAACAAATTTGATATCAATTCACAAACTTGTAGCCTTTTAGCATACATCTAAGTATATATTTTGATAAGACTATACACTGACTTCAAAGGGAACCTATATGCAGCCTATGGATATTAAAAACTATTCAGATTCTTATCAAGCAAGAAAAGAGATTTAAAACAAGCTCTCACTGACCTCTCTAGCTGCTCGTAATGTAAAATAATTCATTCTAAAATATTTTAACAAAGACTGCAAAGTCAAGTTTCAGTCAATTTCTAGAAACACCTACTGTTCACCTGGCAGCCTGCTAAGATTTTTTTGCAATAGAAAGTAATAGGAAAAAACTATTTTTTTCAAGTGCTTCATGCCAGTGCAATGTGAAGACAAATTTCTCCACAATGCTTAAAGTATAGCTACAGAGGTGAGTGGGGGCTTGTTTTAAAGAGCTTTTACCTTGTTCAAATATTTAAATACTTTAGTGTGGATAGTCTGGGCACAAGTTTCACATTAAAAGAGAAGTATGGCATTTTTGTTTTTTCCCCAATCATAAATCACATGATCGCTGAGTTCTCACAGCCGCTCTAAGCAGAGGGCAGTGAATGTCAGTCACTGCTGTCTGCTTAGCCCCCCCCCCCCCCAGCCAGCGCTCACTGGAGTGTAGGGCTGTGAAGGGGGAGGGATCGGCTGGCTCAGCCTCTCAGCACATCGCTGAGAGGCTGAGCCATGTGCTGCTCCAGACTATGGGGTGGATCCTGACTTTGATGTCGGGATCTTTCCCCAGTCTGGATTGTCCGAATGATGTCAGCCGACAGCAGGCTTCAGCCCGCTGTCAGCTGAAAACAGGACACAGAAGTGAAGGATGAACTGTACGCCTGTGATCGACAAGAGAAGTACAGCCAAAGGAGCTTTGGGTGTACTTCTCCTTTCCAGACATTTTTGGAAGGTCATTAGAACAGCGGACCAGACAAGAGATTTGCAAAAAGTAAATCTTAGATTTTGAGTGTATAAGGTAGCTCATATTCAAAGACATTTGCCATATCATCTATTTTTTGAGGAAGAAGTTACAAGTCGCTGAAATTGCTGTGAAATTGTAATTGTGACGTAGACTATGCAGTGTCCTAGATCCCCTCTGTTCAAAAAGTCTCCACAGTGGTTACCTTTAATTATAATGCCATTTTTTGTTAACAGAGTGCAAAATGGAGGCCTGTCCTGTACCCATGACCTGTCCTTCCAATAAGAAGCTGACAACGACTAGCACAAAGTGTTGTAATGAGTATAAATGCAGCTGTATGTGTTCCAATTCCACAAATACCTGTCCACCCGGATACATCTCCTCCATCCTGACCGATGAGTGTGGCTGCTCCTCTGTTACCTGTACTGCAGATCAGGTGAGAAGTACTTCCATTTATTTCAGCAAACAGATACCGATATTGTAAATGGTGATTTCTAATCCAAATATGGGAAAACATTTACAAACTAGACCGAATACTTAATAAGATGCATTTTTTATATTTACATGTTCTTTATTAAATTCCACATTAAAAATTTACAATATACATAATTTATTTAATACCAAATAACTACAGTAGATTTTCTCTCTAGGCCAGTACTATGCTGTACAATAGACCTGAAAAGCAGGAAGATCAGATTAACCCAGACTGCAGGGTTGCAGAGTTACTGAGCAGGACCTCAGCCTCTCCCTGTAGAAGACAGTGGAACCTAGCTTTGACAGTTTTACACAAGGTCCTTCCGTACCTGAAAAGAGCCACCCTCACTCAGTGCTGAAAACAAAAGCTGTGCAAAGTCTTAGAGTTCATTTACTTCAAAAAGCAGCCAAAGCCTAAACAGAAAAACATGTCTCCTGCCAGTTTGGTGCGGAGAACAACCTTTGCTCTTTGTGTGGAAGCAGTAGTCTCTCTGCAGAGATTCAACATTTGCCCCAGCATAGTTTGGGCTAGAGCTTTTCAATCATCAGGAAACATGAGCTTTACTGAGAGCTATAGGTCTGAGAGCAGGGGGTGTGCAGCACTGAGAGAGACCACTGCTCCAACACAAAGAGCAAGTGTCTTTCTCTACAGCAGGAGTCTCCAAACATTTTCTAAACAAAGGACCAGTAAACTGTCCTGACTTTAGGGGGCTGGACTATGGCCATTAGGAGTAGAAAAGGTCCCAACGTAAGTGGAAACAACAATGCCCCATCTTTTTAGTCAGTGGGCTGAATTTTGCCCCCTTGTAGGTGTCATTGGACCCCATTGTTAGTGTCATTGGGAGAAATTGTGCCCCCTCATTGATGTCATTGAAAGGAATTGTGATACGTTGTTAATGTCATTGGAAGGAATTGTGCTCCTTCACTGATGTCATTGGAAGGAATCATGCTACATTGTTGATGTCATTGGGAGGAATTGTGCTCCTTTATTTGTGTCATTGGAAGAATTTGTGCTACATTGTTAATGTCATTGGGAGGAATTGTGCTCCTTCATTTGTGTCATTGGAAGGAATCGTGTTACATAGTTGATGTCATTGGGAGAAATTGTGCTCCTTCATTGATGTCATTGGAAGGAATCCTGCTACATAGTTGATGTCATTGGGAGGAATTGTGCTCCTTCATTGATGTCATTGGAAGGAATCGTGCTACATAGTTGATGTCATTGGGAGGAATTGTGCCCCATCATTGATGTCATTGGAAGGAATTGTGCTACATTGTCGATATCATTGGGAGGAATTGTGCCCTTCATTTGATGTTATTGGAAGGAATCATGCTACATAGTTGATGTCATTGGGAGGAATTGTGCTCCCATCATTGATGTCATTGGAAGGAATTGTGCTACATAGTTGATGTCATTGGAAGGAATTGTGCCCCATTCATTGATGTCATTGGGAAGTGCTCCTTCATTGATGTCATTGGAAGGAATCGTGCTACATAGTTGATGTCATTGGGAGGAATTGTGCCCCATCATTGATGTCATTGGGAGGAATTGTGCTACATTGTCGATATCATTGGGAGGAATTGTGCCCCTTCATTGATGTTATTGGAAGGAATCATGCTACATTGTTTGATGTCATTGGGAGGAATTGTGCCCCATCATTGATGTCATTGGAAGGAATTGTGCTACATAGTTGATGTCATTGGAAGGAATTGTGCCCCATCATTGATGTCATTGGGAGGAATTGTGCTCCTTCATTGATGTCATTGGAAGGAATCATGCTACATAGTTGATGTCATTGGGAGGAATTGTGCCCCATCATTGATGTCATTGGGAGGAATTGTGCTACATTGTCGATGTCATTGGGAGGAATTGTGCCCCATCATTGATGTAAATGGAAGGAATCATGCTACATTGTTGATGTCATTGGGAGGAATTGTGCTACACTGTCGATGTCATTGGGAGGAATTTGTGCTACATTGTCAATGTCATTGGGAGGAATTGTGCCCCTTCATTGATGTCATTGGAAGGAATCATGCTACATTGTTGATGTCATTGGGAGGAATTGTGCCCCTTCATTGATGTCATTTGGAAGAAATTGTGCTGCATTGTTGATATCATTGCGAGGAATTATGCCCATTCATTGGTGTCGGGGGGGGGGGGGTAATTATGCCCCATTGTTGGCATCAGTGGATGAAATAGTGCCCCGAGGGCCAGATAAAAGCAAGCAAAAGACCACATCTGGCCCCTGGGCCACAGTTTGGAGACCACTGCTCTACAGCATGCTGCTTGGGAACAAGCTTTTCTCTTGAGGCTGTAGCTGCTCTAAAAAATCTGTGACTGTAATGCTTTGCACAATGATTCAAGAGCTTAGCATGGGGGTGTTAAACCTCTACAGAGAAACCACTGCTTCCCACAGAGAAAGCAAGGATCCGTCTTCAGACCTTCACACCTGGATTTGATTTAGCCGTATTTAAACTAAAAGTTCATTTGGACTTTTAGTTTAAAAGTTTGGCCACATTTTGAGTATATTGGAGCAAAGGTAGAAACCTCTCTCTGTTTTCCATATTTGTTAGCTGTCGTTTGTCATATGTGTCATCATTTGGAGGATTTACCCTTTACCTTCTGTCCCGGTGGTTGGTGTTAGTTGGACAGGACAAAATCTACCTTTTTTAATGTTTCAAAAACAGGAGCAAAGATGAATTGTTCCCTCAATTTGGAGAATATTTTTCTCACTTCCTGTTTTGTCCTGGGACTGAAAGTAGTCAAAATCTCTCGTTGAGACGCAGCAGTAAAAGATCTTCTAATGCAGGCCATAGACGGGGAGAAAAACGGCAGATTTTTCTTTTAAAAAACGAAAAATCGGTCGTTCAAGCGGCCGACGTTACCATCAATGGTAAAAAAAAATCGGCCGATTTTCATCCCGTCTACAGCCGGCAAAAAGTGTCCCTGCAGAGAGCTCCGCTATTTCTTTGACAGTTCCTTGACATTTACAGCGGTTGCAACATTGTATCTATTTGTTTCCATTTAGGATACAGATGTTTTTATTCGGAAACAAATAGATACAATGTTGCAACCGCTGTAAATGTCAAGGAACTGTCAAAGAAATAGCGGAGCCCTCTGCAGGGACACTTTTTGCTGGACTTGAATTCCTCTTATTTTTCATCCTACTTCTTCTTCTTCTTCATCCTCATCCTTCTTCTTCTTCTTCTTCTTCTTCTTCTTCTTCTTTCTTCATCTTCATCCTCATCCTCTTCTTCTTCATCCTCATCCTCTTCTTCTTCATCATCCTCATCCTCTTCTTCTTCTTCATCATCCTCATCCTCTTCTTCTTCTTCATCCTCATCCTCTTCTTCTTCTTCATTCATCCTCATCCTCTTCTTCTTCTTCTTCTTCTTCATCCTCCTCCTCATCCTCATCTTCTTCTCTTCTTCTTCATCCTCATCCTCATCCTCTTCTTCTTCTTCATCCTCATCCTCTTCTTCTTCTTCCTCATCCTCTTCTTCTTCTTCGTCCTCATCCTCTTCTTCTTCTTCTTCTTCATCCTCCTCATCCTCTTCTTCTTCATCCTCATCCTCTTCTTCTTATTATTCTTCATCCTCATCCTCATCTTCTTCTTCTTCATCCTCATCCTCTTCTTCTTCATCCTCATCCTCTGATTCTTCTTCATCCTCATCCTCATCTTCTTCTCTTCTTCTTCTTCTTCATCCTCATCCTCTTCTTCTTCTTCTTCTTCTTCTTCATCATCCTCATCCTCATCTTCTTCTTCTTCATCCTCATCCTCTTCTCTTCTTCTTCATCCTCATCCTCCTCCTCTTCTTCTTCTTCTTCTTCTTCTTCTCATCATCCTCATCCTCTTCTTCTTCTTCATCCTCATCTCATCTTCTTCTTCTTCATCCTCATCCTCTTTTTCTTCTTCATCCTCATCCTCTTCTTCTTCTTCTTCTTCATCCTCTTCTTCTTCCTCTTCTTCATCCTCTTCTTCTTTTCCTTCTTTTTGTCTTCCTCTTGCAGGTCACTGCTCATGCGCAGATTTTTTATCGGTAAAAAATCGGCCGATTTGCCCATCATTGCTGCGAAAATCGGCCGATCGGCAAAATCGGACGATTTTTTTTCCAACTTTACCGAAAAAAAAAATCTGCCAAAATACCGAAAAACGGCCGACCAAATAGCCCACTAACGATCCGAAAATCGGCCGATTTTATTTTCGGCCGAAAAATCGGCCGATTTTTGACCCATCTATGGCCTGCATAACTCTTCCCTATATTATCTACAGCTAGAAAAAAAAAAAGGTTTTGGCTAAAGTTCTATGTTAAATAAGAGCAATTTGAAAACTGTAGACTTGTGTCACGTCTGAATACTGTCATTTGTTTGCAATGTGTAGGTCTGCGTCCATAAAAATATTGTATATCGCATTGGAAGCCTGTGGGAGGACGGATGCCAGACCTGCAAGTGTACTGACCTGATGGACTCGATCACAGGACTCCGCATAGTCGAGTGTGTTAAAAAGCAATGTAATACAAAGTGTGCTCTGGTAAGTATGGTAAAATGCAGTGTGATTATACATAGAGCTGCTGATATTTATTGTACAGCAGTAGGAAAGGACAGGAACTTATATGACACAAGATTTGATATTTGCCATCAATCTTATCACACCTCTGTCTCCTCCTGTCATTTCCCACATGGAAGAAAAATATATTTTAAATATATTTAAAAAATATTCTTCCCAAATATATGGACATATATTTGAAATACTACAATTTTGGCCTATTCAATATATTTCAAAATCTATTTCAATACATATATATTTCATATATATATATATATATATATATATATATATATATATATATATATATATATATACTGTATGTTGAAATGACTTTTTTATATATTACAAAATATATGAAAATATTTTTAATAATACATTTTCAAATGTACTTTATGTCTTTAAAAGTACATTTAATATACGTTTTGTTGAATGCATTTACAAGTATATGTAAAAATATATGTTAAAATGACTTTTTTATATGTTAAAAAAATCTGAAGAATAGACTTAAAAAAATATATATTTTGAAAAATTTTTTTCATATACTTTGTAATATATACAAATTGCATTTCAACATACAGTATATATATATACACATGTATGTATATGTATGTATGTATGTATATATATATATATATATATATATATATATTATTTATTTATTTTTTTTTTTTTTTAAATATATTGAATACAGCCAAATTTGTAGTATTTCAAATATATGTCAATATATTTGGGAAGAATATTTTTAAAATATATTTAAAATGTATTTTTCTTCCATGTGGGTTAGCTCCCAGTGTTAGACTGACAGCGTTGAACACCACTTCTGGTTCTGCATTTTCACCTTCACTTCAGTGAGTCCTAAATTACAGGATGCTAAAATAAAGATTCAGGTATTATACTGGACAAATAGATAGATATATATTTTAGTAATACAAGTGTGATTTATTTTTCCTGTCAAGTAATAAGGTTCTGTTCAGTCAGTCTTTTGATCCTGGAACATCTGCCAAAACACAGTCAAATGCTGGTCCTCCACTGCAATTATAGTGGTAGTAAAATCTTTATTCTTGAAATCCACTGACAGGCAGGGTTTTTATAGCAGAAGAGACCCTTGCAGTCCCTTTTGTCATAAATATCCCCCCTGCCTGTCAGCGGGTAATGTGATCTGAGCCGCACATGCACAGGTCAGATCACATTTACAGCTCTCTCTGTGTGCCGTGGCGATGTGACTTCCATGCACATGCGCAGGAGTTACATCACCGCAGCCCGGCTATTCAAGCAGCCGAAGATACGAAGCCCGAAAAGAAGATTGTGCGAAGATGAAAGTGCCTAAGGAGCCGTGACAGCACTGGTGGGCTCCATTTGCAGGTAAGTCTGTCATAATGTGCTAATATATGGTGCATACAAGTTCATTATGAATTGAACCTGCATCCGGACCAGATTTTTTAATTCATGAGATGTCTTTACTACCACTTTAAAGTACTTGTAAAGGCTCAATGTTTTTTACCATCATGCATTCTATGCATAAAGATAGAAAACCTTCTGTGTGCAGCAGTCCCCCCAGCCTCCCTAAAACTTACCTGAGTCCAATCCCAATTGTACACAAAAGCCGCAGCTCTCCCTGGTCTCTCCCTCCTCATTGGGTGAGACAGCAGCAGTAGCCATTTGCTCCCACTACTGCCAGTCACAGTCAATGAGCCAATGAGGAGAGAGTGGGGGTGGGGCTGAGCCACGCTCTGTATGTGAATGGGCACAAAGAGCAGGCCTGTTTCAGGTGCCCCCATAGCAAGCTGTTTGCTATGGGAACACTAGGCAGGACATTACCCAGAAGCATCAGCAGGGGGACCCAAGAAGAGGAGGATCCAGGTTGCTCTGTGCAAAACCACTTCACAGAGCAGGTAAGCATAGACATGTTTGTTCTTTTTAAACAAAAAAACTACTGTTAATATCACTTTAAAGTGACTCAAATAAGACATAGTAACATGGTGTCACTATGGTAAAACACACTTAGGGCTCGTTCACACTTGACTGTTTTTCCAACTCTTGTCAAACGCCCCTATAGCATTTGCAAAGCGTTGGTCTGGCGTTTGCGGAGCGTTTTTTAACGCTCCACAAATGCTCCGCAAACGCCGCGTGCACGGTTTACTGGCGGTAGCTAGGCGTTCGCAAAGCTTTAAAAATGCCCCACAAACGCCTATAATGAAGTTTGAATGGTGTTACCGCTCCACAAATGCCCCGCAACCGCGTCGCAACCGCACCGCAAATGCCCTGGGCGTTTGCGGAGCGGCACCATAGACTTGAATAGGAGGCTTCAACTCCATCTGACTCGACCAGAGGCTTCCGTTTTGCCACGACGCAATGTGACGCTAACGCTTCCATGTGAACAGCACCATGTGCTGCAATGTGCAGAATTTTCCCAGGCGTTTGGGAAGCGGTAAAAACGCTTCCCAAACGCCTGTCTGCTGCTTGCAAACAAGGCTAGTGTGAATGTAGCCTTATGTTAACTTTTGCTCCCCCACCACTCCTTCTGTGGCAACAATTGCAAAATTCCCTGCTTCATGGTGTATGAGCTTACATAGGATTGATGTCACCCCCTTTCATGTGACAGTGTTTGGGCTTGTTCATTGGCTGCTCAGCAACAAAACGCTACAACTGTGAGTATAACTAGGTCAAGGTATAGACTTGAACATACTCATTACTCACGTGAACATACATATTACTGTGACCTGAATGGACAATGTGGTAGCGTTTATTTAAAGTGTTACTAAACCCACAACAGTAAAATCAATCTATATATACAGTAAAGCATGCTTGTTATACACACTGTGGAACCTAAGGGATTAACCCTCTGCATTGTGTAAAAGGATGTTTGATTCTGTCTTCTCTGATCCTCCCCTTCTTTTACTGTCCCCAATCCATCTGTTGTTAGAACAGAGCTTTGGGGGCAAGCTGCACATGCTCAGTTTGGTGTGTATTACTAGAGAGTTTTTTTTTTTCTTGGGAGAGTGCATGTGGTCAGCACAGTGCCAATCAGCGCTGTGCAGCCTCATAGGACAATCACAGGATTGGACACTGACAGAATTCACAAAACTGCTATATTCTGCTGATGAGAAAAGGTATTTAGCAGTTTATGTTTACTAAAATAATTGCATTTCCATGTTTTGTGTACTGTGGGAGACCAGATATAGTGGATGCAGGGCAATGGGTTTAGTAAAACTTTAACTTCTAATTGGGTAATGTATGCGACACTTTCCTTTCTCATAGGTTTTTTTTTGTTTTTTTTTTTTGTTTATTTTGGGTAAAGTATTCAAACCTTTGTCAGGTCTTTTTCTTGTTTATGTCCTACTGGGGAGATTTTTCTACACTTATTGTCCTGGCGATGCTACAGGACTCTCCTACTTTCAAAGTAAGAAAAACTCAAAGTGAAAATTTGTTTGCCGGTCTCATTTTTCTAAAAAAGTGGAGTAGTTCGATCAGGTGGCACGTTAATCTGGATCAGTTCTCAGTGGAGGGCACATTCGGTCAGGGGACCTTCTCTGAGTTCATTTCAAAATTTACTGCTGCCATCAAGCTCTTGAACTGAATTGCTGGTACAGCATATCCCTCTTCCACCATGGGATGAGACCTAGCTCTTCAGTCTGCAGACATCATGTGAAGACCTAGTCCTGGGCTTTCTTATTGGACAGTTTGACATCAATCACAAGTGATGTTTAGAAGCACTCTGTATGAAATATTTATTTGTAGAATGAGTATATTATACCAGCCTTTCTTAACCAGGCACCCTGGGGTGCCTTGAGGTTTCTTCAGGGGTGCCTTGGCAAGATTTCTAAAAATTTACCAAAACTTGTATACAAGCCAGCAGGTGGACCAAGCCTGCCTTTTAGTTACACAAAGCCACACGTTTTCATTGTGGACCATTGCGACCTTCTACCCGCCAGCATCCTGACAACCAATGACATCATCAGTTGATAAGGAGGATGTCAGCTGCCTGCACAGCATCCTAGTTTTACCCTCCCCTGCCCCTCTCCAACAGTGCTGGGGACACTATAGCTCAGTGATGGAGAAAAACTGAGGGAGAAGAGAAACATTGGAATACTAGTCAGTACCAGTGTGCAAAAGTGTACTTGCTTCGGAAGAATAAATCACCTCTAATGTTGGGTGTCCTACATGTGTGTGGATATTGCTGTGTTATATAAAACTATCAGAATAGCTTTTCACATTCTATTTTAGAATGGGGTGCCTGAAGATTGTCCATAGTTTTAAAGGGTGCCTTGGGGACTGTCCATAATTTTAAAGGGTGCCTTGACCGGAAAAAGGTTGATAAACACTGTATTTATACAATAAAAACATTCATATCAAATAGTAGTTTACATTTAAAGAAAAAAATAGGCGGGCTTTTAACAGATTTGCTTCTATTCTTGGACATGGCCTCCACTATCAGTCACTTGCCTGGAGATAGATTTGCAGTTTTTTCATCACGTACAACAAAGTCATTGATCACCACGTCAGCCTTGGAAATAAAGATGTTATTTTTTTTTTTTAAAGCAAATTTCCAAAATGTACTCAAAGAATATCTGACTATGGGATCTATCCATAACAATTTGCTGAGTTGCCCAATTTATGTATAAAAAAATAAATTATCAAGTTAACAAAATCTTAGTGTGCGACTTTCGAAAAATTCTGTTGCCTTGTAGACGGAAAAATGACTGGCTGTTTTTAAGGAGCAAACGAGGTGCCAGGTCCGGGCTTGCCGCGATATAGGCACAAGTCTGAACGTTTATAAACACAGATAGTTCCACTTGATTAATTCAGCAGCCTGTCTCCAGGAAAGCCACCACTTTGTCTACATGGTTGGAGCTCACAAGAGAAGCTTAATGTAGGTTTGATTTAAGTTTATAATCTATTCCAAGGCACTTCTCAGCTAAAAGTGTGTTGATTTTACTGAGAATGTTTGGGAATATCTGCGGGGGAACAATGAGTACGCTGTGTTTTATGACCGTTCTTTCTCAAGTGCTTCAAAGTTTTTCCTCCCTTCCAACACGTTGTAATTGGAAAATCAGCAGTGTAGAAGGACTGAGTGAGACACTTAGGCCGTGCGTGGCACATCTCCTTGGGTGGTCAAGGGTGCATGTTATTATGTGTGACGGTGCCTTGGGGTACACACAGCCCCTTGCTATGGTTTTGTGCTGGTTAATTTACTGTGCTGTCAGAAATAAACTACAGTTCGCTCTTTATGATTTTCATTAGAGGCATTTTTTCGACTCTGCTTACAGTTTCTTGCAGTATACATTTGACTGAAAAATATCTCCGTAAGAATGTATGAGAAATCATTTATTTGAAATAATATTTAGGAAAACAGGAACAATGGGTGCACAGGTGGATTGTCTGTGGCAACCAATCAGACCCATTCTCACCTGTAGTAGAAAGGCGATTAAGGGAATTGGAATGGCTGCTTTATTTTTTTATTTGCCATAGTTTTCATAAATGCAGTTTTAAATCTGCAAGCAGAATTCAAGTAGTTGTAAACCCTCACGTGTACCCAGGGCTGTATTCATCACAGGTATTTAGTAGGCATTTGACTAGGGCGGCATTTTTTAGGGGGGCAGCGGAAGGGATACACGCAGCATGGGGACCAGGTGGGATCTGTGAGAGACTGTGGGCTGCTTGACTGTGTATGCAGAGCTCACCTCTCATTCCTGGGGTTGTCCTGAGCTGTGCAGGTGATTGTTTGTCTCGTGCCGAGTGGGGGGGTGTCATGGTGATGGGTGTATGGGGGGTGGTGGAAGGCTGTCTTGGCTGGGAAAGGGGGTCGGTGTTGGTCATTGTCAGGCTAACTTCATGAGGGGGGGTGCGGGGTGATGTGGTATTGGTCAGTGTCAGGCTCTCTACGAGGGGGGGCTGCTGAGTTTTGTGTTGCTTAGGGCATCACAAAGCCTAAATACACCACTGCGTGTACCCATTAAAGTGACTGGCCTCAGGTGGTACACAGAGATGAAAAAAACTCCTCCTACATAAGTTGTACTTGTTTGTCTGCAATTTTCTCTTCTCTACATCTACATTCAAAGTCCAGAAATTATCAAGCTTGTCTGCGCTTTCAAAAAAGGGGCGGGTAACTGAAATTACACACTGCAGAGCTCAGTGAGGAGAGCTCTGATAGCTGATTAGAGGGAAGGGACACCCCCCCCCCTTTACACAGGAACAAAACTGAGGCTATTGATCACAGGCTGTGTGATGGAGCTCCCTCCCGTCACCTTTTTTTCTCTTGGTGGCAAGAAAATTTGTCAGAAGTGGTTCAGGCTGATAGCAGAGGAATGAAGCAGCAGACACTTAGTGCTCTTGAGACAAGCACACACTATAGTGGGATATGCTTTGTTCACATTTCATGCCTGAGGATTGTAATCATTAACATATCATTAAATGTATTTTTTTTTATGCAAAGTGTATTGATTTTTACTTGGTCTTGACATCTTGGAGCTCCTGTACAACAGGGCTCAGACTGAGAGGAAGCATCAGCACACAAAGCCAATCAACTAGTGTGCTGACAAGAAGCACGCTGACAGGTGGAAAGAGTAGAGTTAGAGGAGGTCTTCTGAGTGTTTCTCCTTCTTCAGTGTCCAGTCACAGTCTATGGGGCAGGTCCAGGACAGCCTGGGCTTCAAAGAAGTGGGTTGAATGATGCTGATTGTCATTTAACCTGGAAGACTGAGGACATCTACTGGCAGAAAAGAAGTACTGCACATCACAGATTGAATGTGAGTATTGCAGCAAGAGATCTTTTGTTTATTTTATCATTTCAATGGGCTATTTTTTTTTTTGGGGGGGGGCTGAAGTTTTGCTGTAAAGTTCATGACTACCCAAAACGTTTTTGTTTTGAATAGAATGACAAGGGGTTATATTACCCGTCAAGCTTATATTACTGCCTGCGTCCCTTCTTGGGGGTGAGTCACCCTGTTTGTCACCTAGATAGAAATTGATGGGATAGCCAAAATCTCACAGTTTTCACTGAAATAAAAGGTGAAATCTTCCATTGGGAAAACGTGTTTGACAACTTTCTATGAGGGATTTCCCTCACTTTGGAGAGATTTCCTGTTATATAAAAAGAACTTTATATAAAAGTATAAAGGAAGAACTCTTATATAAAAGGATTTTACTTTTGTACTATATCAGTTGTATTTTTACACCCAGCACACAAGGGGGGGGGGGGGGTAGAAGGATTTACTAAAGCTGGAGAGTGCAAAATCTGGTGCAGCTATGCATACAAACCAATCAGCTTCCAGCTTTTAATGTCAAAGCTTAATTAAACAAGCCAAAGTTAGAAGCTGATTGGCTACCATGCACAGCTGCACCGGATTCTCAGTGTCTGAAGTATTATGTGAAATTGTGCTGAGTTCTTTAGTGCAGGATACTTAATTGACAGAAGGATTTTGATATTGATTAATACTTACACATAATAAAATATTCACTGTTGTGTCTTTATGTAAGTAAAGGGCTTCAGTGAGATTTGTTTAGAACATACAATATTAAAGAAGCGCATTTTACCCTGTGCTAATGATTCCATTGAGTATCACAGAGCATTTTACACTGTAAAACCACTAAGGACATGAAGAAAGGAGATACTGGAATTGTCAGATTCACCAATTAGATTGCATCTCTCTCTTCCTGAAATAAGAAAGTTAAAATATAACTGAAGGGAAACATTTTTTTAGGTTAGGATAGAGTGGTGAGGGGTTAGAACCTTTGTCAGGTTTTTATTGCTGTCTGTGTCCCTGTTAGGGTGATTCACCATCTTTGATTGTCCGGATCACCAATGTCACCGGGAATGAAAGTGCTGGGAAATCCAACATTTTGAGTTGCTACCAATAGAGGAATAGAGGGGGCATCGTCCAATGGAGACACTTGTTCTAAAAGGGGATTGCCCTTACATTGGAAGGCTAAATTTCCCATTGTGTTTGCAGGACAGGAAGTGATGGGATCATCCTAATTTGACACACATTACAATTTTTTCCCCCTACTCTTCTCCAAATTAAAGTGTTACTAAACCCACAACAGTAAAATCAGTCTGTATATGCAGTAAAACATGCTTGTTATACTCACTGTGGAACCTAAGGGGTTAATCCTCCACATTGTGTAAAAAGGATGTTTGATCCTGTCTTCTCCGATCCTCCCCTTCTTCTACTGTCCCCAATCCTTCTGCTTTACAGAGTTTGAAAACCATATAACCTACTATTAAAGCATTTTGGATGCAGAAAAAAATTCACAGAACTGCATGTGGTGTGACCCAGCCATAAAGTCTGTAATACCTGGTATATTAACTGCTTTCCCGTCACCCTATAGTAGAAATACCACTACCCGGCGGCAGGGGTGCACAAAATCATGTATATATACGTGATTTCGCGTTTCCAGGTAGGGGGCCCTGCGCGCGCCCTACCCGCATCTCCACTTGCGGCCTTGGCTGTCAATCACCAGGTCCTTCCCAGTGATTACTCACCAGCACCCGGTGATCGCCAAGCATTACCGACAGGGGCAGAAAACTGTATGTAAACAATACAGTTCTCTCCCCTGTCAGCTCCTGCACACTGCTTTGTATGGCTCTGCATAGCAGAGCCATACAAATCAGTGTGCTTACAGTGGTAAGCACATACACAGCCTTATAGTAAAACACACACAGCACACAGTTAACCCTTTGATCACTCCAGATTTTAACCCCTTTCTGCCCAGTGCCATTAGTACAGTGTCAGTGCTTTTTATTAGCAGTGATCACTGTATTGGTGTCACTGGGGATGTCACTGACACCAAGTCAGTTCCCCCCAGTGTCAGAATTCCCGCTATAAGTCACTGATAGCCACCATTACTAGTCAAAAAAAATATAAAATTCCACTATGTATATGGCCATTTGTAGACGATATAACTTTCACGTAAACCAATTTATTTACACGTATCGGGATTATTTTTAGCAAAGACATGTACAGAATACATTTTGCCCTAAATTTATGACGAAATTTGATTTCTAAACTGGACACGTTTAATAGCAAAAAGTCAAAAGTATTGTTTTTTTTTTCAAAATTGTCAGTCTTTTTTTTTTAAATAGCGCAAAAAATAGAAAATGCACAGGCCATCAAAATACCACTGAAAGAAAGCTCTATTTGTGGGAAAAAAGGATGTAAATTTCATTTGGGTGCAGCGTTGCATGACCGCACAATTGTCAATTAAAGTAATGCAGCGCCGTAGCGCAATAAATGGCCTGGTCAGGAAGGGGGGATCCACAGGAGGACACGTGGTTAAAGGAGATAGTATGAGTAGGATCTTTATAAGGTTATGAACGTTGTGCAGGGTCTTTGAATCAATGATATTTTTTCAGGGTATTGTAAAAATCTGGTAAATGGATGTAATTTTGGCAGTGTCATGTGGTTTGTGAAAGTTTTATTTTAAATCTTCGTGGCACAAAAGAAGAATGAGAGGTTAACCTTTATGTAAGATGGAATTGTGCAGCTGTTCTAATTCATGTGTACAGAGCACCTGAAAACTCTATGTGTAAAGGATGACTCAGGGCTTTCTCTATTATTATAACCTAACCTTCAGATTAATTCCACTCCAGCCGCCTGACAAGCACCTGGATCCCTGTGAAAACCTCACTTTTGTTTGTTTCATTAGGAGAACAATACCAGCATACAGGAGACCAAACAAGGCAATGTTGGATGTGCGCTAGCCACTAATCTTTCTCTTTTAATGGGAACACGCATTTTTTATGGAAAAAATAAATGGCAATTTAAAGCATTATTAAACCCCAAAAATCTAACATATTGCAGTTTAACCATCCTTAGATGTGGTGACTGCATTAGTTTTATTTTTAGGCCTTTCTTTCACTTTATTTGACTTGATGATCCATCCAATAACACAATTCCTGTCTTAGGTGTGTCTACCAGGGGTGGACTGACCATTTGGAAACTTGGACATTGCCCGAGGGCCCGGGGTCAGTAGGGGGCCCCATGAGATGCCCCTGGTACCTTTTTCATAGGCTTTTTTGAGTTTGGGCAAGGACACAGGGGCCCCATGATCCCCTATTGCCCGAGGGCCTCATGAGTTGTCAGTCCGCCCCTGGTGTCTACTATGGATGAAGTATTAACACAGACACCCTTGGACAGCAGAATTGTCAGTCTAAAGTGAGGGCAGTAATAGACTAGCACAGGGGTGTCCAACTTGTGGCCAGTGGGACACATGCTGCCAAATATGGCTATGAATGCCGCTCAATAAAAAAAGAAATCGTAAAATTACTTAAAATGTTGATTTTTGGGGATTTTTTTTTTTAATGTGTTTACACTTTGCAAATACATCAAGCCAAAGAAAAAATTGACATCTTTAAGTTTTATCTTCTCCCACTCTTCACAATCTTGCCTTATTCATGTCATCAGTGTTCGGCAGCACCTGTATTTGTGAGCAGCTATTTTCAAGGATGAAGCACACGAAAGGCAAACTTAGAACCAAAATATCTGATGAGCATCTTCAGAATTCATGGAGAATTGCTACTACATCCATCAACCCAGATATAGATGCGTCAAATATCACTCTAGTTTTAGGTTGCCCTCTTTTACTTTTATAATCAAAAAATATTTTAAAAAAAAATGAAGTTTTAGGCCTCATGCACATAGGGCAGTTTAAAAATGTTTTTCCTCTTGGCAGCAGCATTTTGGCAGAAAAAATGCTTGACTCCTGTCAAAGTGTCTAATGCTTTGACCAGTGTTTAGGCGCATTTACAAGCATTAGTAATTTATTCTGGCCATTGAAATGAATAAACGCTGAAGTGCTAAATGTGTCTAGTGTAACACGCATCAAGCGTTTTCTCTGCCAAAACGCTGCTGTTCTTGGACACACTGGCCCTGAGTTTTTTTCCTGCTGGTAAAAGCTTATAAAAGTCTATGTGTGCATGGAGACATAGGATAACATGGAGGGCCATTTGGAAGCAGTAAAAAAAAAAAATCCCTGACACCCATAAAAGGGGTTGCAAAAGTGCCCTGTGTGCATGAGGTCTTATTACTCAGATAGGTGCCTTATCTATATCTGTGATCATTATCTTGTGATCTGCCCCACTTTTTTCTATCATTATTGTTAGCATATTTTATATGTAACCCAAGGCAATTCCATTGTGACCCAGGAAGGTCAAAAGGTTGGACACCCCTGGACTAGCAGATTTAGGTGGACTTAACTAGGAAATTGAAGCTGAACCCCTGCTAAAACTTTATAAGCAGTTAACAGTTTTTATTTTTGGAATAAAGGTTTTGTCTAAACAAATAAAATCTGATTATTGTAGCACCCCTGTCAGTGTTAAATGATTTATCCCAACACTCTAACTGCTACTTTTTCTGGACAGCTTGGTCTGTGAAAGTAAGTTGAAAAATAACAGATTCACTGGCTGTATCACCAGGTGAAAATAAAGTAAGAAAACCTAAAAAAACAAAGAAAACATATGAAGCCACCGCATCTAAAAAATGCTAAGCTGCAATTTAACACATTTTTTTTTGTGTTTAATACAGCTTTAACAAAAATGGTATCATGCTTCCAAAGTGTATTTGTGCTTAGGTTTTCCCAATCCATACTGCTGTTGTCTTCCCCGATATTGGTTCTTGCTGTGTCTGGATTGCTATTTTTACGTCACTGTTGACATACTCTAAAATTCAGGGCAAAGCTAAAAATTACGTGTTTTTTTTAAAGAAAAGCAACCCAACTGACATTTTTAAAGCTGAACTCCAGGCAGATGAAAAAAAAGCACAAATAAAAGCAGTTCTGAATTTACTGATACATCATTTTATTTATTAAATTTTTTTTTTTAATGCAAGCAGTGCAGTCCCTGTACAGCACAGCTCAGAAAGAGAGAGAAAGAAGCAGCACCAGTTACCCATCAGTTCATGTACTGATAAGGAGCATGCTAATAAGAAGAGAAAAGATGAGTTCAGCACCATGCTGTTTCTCCTTCACTGTCCAATTACAGGCCGTGGATGGGTCTATTACAGCTTGGGCACAGAGGAGGTGGGTTGAATGATGCTGGCCATGATTCAACCCAAAAGAAAGCAGTATTGCATGGGACAGCTCCAGACCCAAGGGGAGTTTTGCAGCAAAAAAGCTTCTTTTTTTATTTTACCGTTTAAGGCAAATGGTCAAAAATACATGGATTTATTCATGACAGAAATAGAAAGAGTGAAGAAATAACATTTTTATTATGAAAAATCAAAGTGCATTTTAACATATGTTTTGTATCCTGGATCATGTTATAACCTACACCAGCATACAATAACATACCATAATACTGGCTGACAAGCTACCTCAGCTACCTAAGGTGCTTTAAATGCTATTACAGCTTGATAAAATTGGGGCCTACAAAGTAGACAATAAGACACAGAATAAAAATTACTAAACTACACTAAAGCAGTGCATGTAATGGATATACTGTAATGCCATATAGTACTTGCCCCTTGAATTTGAAGAGGCTATTTTGTAAAAAAAATATATATAACTTGTCAAAAGCAGTAAATTAGAAATCAGATTTTTTTCTCACCCATTTTTCAATCTTTTTAGGGTTTCAGATATGTGACCCAGGAAAACGAGTGTTGTGGGAGATGTAAGCGGGCAGTGTGTGAACAAGAGATGCCTCACCTTGAAGGAAATAAAGGAGATTTTGATGAACCTGAGGGCAAAAGCCGTTTTTATAGTGTAAGTAAATTTATTTTTGATTTCTTAAAGTGGAACTTAACTGCAAGCTGAGTGCAAAGGACTAGTCACCAATATTGCCTGTAGGCTCCCTGCATCTGATCTTTCCCCATTACTGACTTACCATGCCTTGTCCTGCACTGTCTGTGTGGAGGTGGTCATCTTGGTAGAGGCTCGGGGTTTTACTTCTTTGTGTTAGAGCCTCCAGCAAGGAAAACATTGAGCAGCACAGTAGTCACATCACCAAATCTCAATCCAAATCCCATGAGACTAGCAGTCAGAGGGCACAGTGCCTTGGACCTCACACTCTCACACTGCAGATTTATATAGCTACACTCACCAGCCACTTTGTTAGGTACACCTCCCTAGTGCCAATAAAATATCCCCCACACCATTACACCACCACCAGCCTGATCCATTGATACAAGGCAAGATGGATCCATGCTTTCATGTTGTTTACACCAAATTCTGACCCTACCATCTGCATGTCGAGCAACCAGTCTGCCCATTCTCCTCTGACATCCATAAGGCATTTGTGTCCACACAACTGCCACTCACTGGATATTTTCTCTTTTTGGGACCATTTTCTCTGTAAACCTTAGAGATGGTTGTGCATGAAAATCCCAGAAAATCTCTGCAGTTTTTGTAATACTCAACAATCACGCCACGTTCAAAGTCACTTAAAGTGGAGTTCCACTCACCCTGTCAAAAAATAAAAGTCAGCAACTACAAAAACTGTAGCTGCTGACTTTTAAAAAACAGCCACTTACCTGTCCCTTGGCCCCGTGGTGTGTTTCCCCGCAGCCTGTTTCACCGGCCGTCCTGTATTCCAGGAGGCCGGCATCTTCAGTGTGGGCACCCAGCTGTGATAGCTTGCAGCTTCACAGCCGGGTTTCCACTGCGCGTGCGCAAGCAGCGCTGTGCTTCATGATTGGTCCTGTCACATGTCCCAAAAGACTACAGGGAGAGAGGACACCTTCCGTTTCTGATCGCCTAGGCAATCGGACCGGAAGTGGGAGTGGGTACCTGTCAAATTGGGGTACCCGCTCCCCCCCCATGCCCCCCAAAGGTGCCAATCCTTAATGGGGGAGCGGGGGAGCAGTCCTTAAAGCCGAAATTCCCCTTTGGGTGGAGCTCTGCTTTAAATTCCCTCCATCCCCCATTCTGATGCTCAGTTTGAACTTCAGTAAGTCGTCTTCACCATGTCTACAGGCCTAAATGCATTGAGTTGCTGTCATGTGATTGGCTGATTAGCAATTTGTGTTACTAAGCAATTCTACAGCACTGACATCTTCCACTGCCCACCCTCATAGTATTGGTGTTACCACTGCCTTAAGTGGAATTCTGAGTTTGTGGACATGCCAGAGAGTGCCTACCCTAGTGGTCCTGCCTCCCAGACTTGCGTGGGTTAGTTATATTGTAGTAGGCATTGTAATCTTTTATTATAGTAACTAGTAACCCTCTTGTATTGAACTATATCTTCTCCCTTTATATTGTAAAGAGCTGAGCAAACTGTTGGTGCTATATAAATCCTGTATAATAATAATAATAATAATAGTAACCTGAACTTTGTAACGCTACAACAGAAAATGTATTATGTACATTTAACAAACCGTGCATTAGGCTGTATTTTATAAGCTGAGCAATATATCATCATGTAAATGTCATCTCTACATTGGTCATTTTGGCTTGCTGCAGGTTGGTGCACGGTGGGCATCTCCATTTGATCCTTGTATCTTTAATGAATGCACGCAAGTGAACGGGGAAGTGTTTACTCTTCAGAAAAATGTGTCCTGCTCTGACATTGAGACCAAGAACTGTCCCACTGGTTTTGAACTGAAGTGTGTCCATGGAGCAGAGTGCTGTCCCACTTGCCATTGTGGTGAGATTCCCTGTTTTTTTTTTGTTAAAAGAGATCTCTGGGTTATACAATTTTGATTTTAAATGATACAAAAATGAAGGAACTATTATGTTATAATCAATATGTTGGTAAGCTGGTGTACACACCAAAGAAGCATGCAGGGGCGGACTGACAACTCATGGGGCCCCCGGGCAATAGGGGATCATGGGGCCCCTGTGTCCTTGCCCAAACTCAAAAAAGCCTATGAAAAAGGTACCAGGGGCATCTCATGGGGCCCCCTACTGACCCCGGGCCCTCAGGCAGTGCCCGAGTTTCCAAATGGTCAGTCCGCCCCTGGAAGCATGTTATTTGCAGTCATTTATCTGATGCTGACTGAACATCCTTAAGCACTCCCCTTTTTCCCCTGTCTTAGAGGGTGGTGTGTTCTAAACAGGGCAGACTGACAACTCATGGGGCCCCTGGGCAATAGGGGATCATGGGGCCCCTGTGTCCTCACCCACACTCAAACCACACCCAAAAAAGCCTATGAAAGGTACCAGGGGCATCTCATGGGGCCTCCTACTGACCCTGGGCCCTCGGGCAGTGCCCGAGTTCCCGAATGGTCAGTCCGCCCCTGGTTCTAAAGCAATCAAAGCCCCTATTGACCATTGTCTGGTCTGTGGGAATTCCCAGACCAGTAACTTGCACAAGAAAGAAACGTTTTGTTATTGGTTAGCACCCAGTTATCAGGTAGCGGGGGTAGGTAAGTCTCTATACTACAATGATTTGTGACATACCAGGCTCAGTCCGGTCACCCCTTGAAAAGTAGTTAATGTAAAAGCCAGTAGCTCAAAAGAAAAATATGACTTGGTAATGGTGACATAATCATCAAAAAAGTCCCATATCTGCACATCATTTGTTCATGCATTTGTATCTTTAATAAACAACTTGGCTTTTTATGTAGTGTTATTTCTATGTAAATGACCTATACATTCTCCCAATCCCTAAGAAATTATGTGCATTAGAGCTAATTGTTCCTTAAAGAGCAATATGAACTTCTTGTGCAGAGCAAGCTTATGAAGTATTGGCACTACCAAGGGCTGAGGAGCATAATGTTTTGTTGTTTCACCAGTGTCTTGCGAATGGAGAAGCTGATTTTATATGCAAGTGTAGGGGTGGCAGGCAATGATGGACTATTCCTCCATGCTTCCCATTGACTTGTTGGGTGCCAAATCTGGCTTATATAAGAGGACTGCCCCCAGGTGGGTTCTTCTGGGCTATGCTAGGCAACTGTAATGCTAGGCACTGCCTCTTACACATGGGGTACCTTTATCTGTGCCATTTCCATCAATACCCTGGGACAGGGACAAGGCTAAGGCCGCTGTGGGGGAATACTCAACCTTATGAAGGGCCTGTACTTTACAGATGAATGTACACCATGTACACTTGCACCAAAACTGTCCTCCAGTTAAATCTTCGGTCCCTGTGTTAAAGTGTTGCTAAACCCAGGACCCTGCATTCACTCTATCTGATCTCCCACAGTACACACAACATGGAGATGCAATTATTTTTAGTAAATATAAACTGCTAAACTGGGAGATCACAGAACAAAACTGCAGTAGTATAAACTACTTTAATTAACAACATCAAATTTGGTTAGCATATTATATGGCTCTTTTATACCATGCCCATTATTACAAAAAACCATCTATACCTCTACCTATTCTTAGGACCTGTGATTTCTGCTCCCTACACCAGCTTGGCCACAAAGGGAGTGGATATGCAAGCTTCATTCATCTCATCTCAGGGGTGCACTTTGGTGTCTTCCCCTTGGGTTCTAGAGGACCTTGTTACTCTTGGGTTGTACTAAGTAAAATGCTTTGAAATTGTAATCTGTGTCTTTCAGATCGCATCCCGGGCTGTCTTCTCAATGGAACTATTATTGGGGTAAGAAAAGATTTATTTAATAAAGCAAAAGCCATCTGTTCACTGAATTAAAATGGCAGACAGTGGGCTGAGTGAATTCTGGAATATAAACTTCATACTTGTGCTGTTAGACAGTTGTACGTTGAAAACTGTGCACTTTTTGAAAGTGGATAGAGTAAAGGAGGGTTATGACCCCTGTCAATATTTTTTCTTTTTGCCATCTATGCTTCACTGGGGAGATTTTCCTTCATCTCTGACCCATAGTTATAACCATAAGTGAAAGAAAATCCCTCCAAAATTAGCAAAATCCTTTGCTGATTAATGTGTGGCCTTCCCTGCTTGACAAAGTCAGATATTTGATCAACTTCTGTTGAAGGGAACATGTGGAAAATGTTGATCAGCAGCTGCAGCCACTGATCAGTGCATTCTGACAGAGGAGAGTCCTCCTGATATAATACAATGCCCAAATGGGGGATTCCTTCATCTACCTCATTTATGAGGATGGAGGAATCTGTCAGTTTGGGGGGTTTTTTTTGTTCTTTTTTTTTGTTCAGCCTGCTGGCAGAACAAAAAAAAAAGCAAAAAAAAATTCTACCCGTCTATAACCAGCTTTAGAGATGGTGTCCTGCAGATGCATAAGATTACAGGTTCGGCTAGAAGGAACATCAACTGGCAACACAGCTTACAAAGAACAACAGAAACATCTGTTGTGTCAGGGGAGCTTTTTCCTGGTATAGACCTGCTCGGGCGTGACAAACCGAGAAGTGGCCACACACAGTGGCTATGATTAAGATTCCTGCATGAGCACATAGCACTTAGATACATGTCAACACCTGGAGAGTAAGTTGTTTTTCACAGAATGGTAATGGGGTTTCTAAAATTATAATGGGGTTTGCTACATGGACAGTTTACCTAGAAATACGGGAGTTCCTTACCTGCTGGAACCTTGTTAAAATCACACCATGCAACTGCCTGGCCATGTTGTTTGGAAATTAATTTTTTTCAACTAAAAATAAGATGCGGCACTTAATAACACAGATCAAGGGAGTAATTAAGATTGGCAGCAGATGTTTGGTTGCTAGGGAAGGCAGCCTCATTCCCCGGAGAGAGGCTTTCTCAGGTGGCCATACCTGTACCAGTCATTATGCAGAATGAATTGTGTTCTGTACCTCTCATCTTGTGAACATTTCTCTGTTGCATAGGACACCCAGACAGCACAGGAGCTGTAAGGACTGGTTTACACTAGCTTGTATGGTTGGGTGCAGTTTACCGTGCAGGCAGCTGTCAGTATGAAGTCCGGTAGGGTGGTGTGATGTTTTCAGTCCATTGTGCTGTTTACTTTTTTATTACTTTATCTGAAGCGTCAGTGAATTACACCACAGTGAAGTGACATGTGGCCCAGACCACTGCGCTTGGAAAAAATGTAGCATGTCTGTATTTTTATACACAGCACACTAGATTGGTGGTGCCGATGTGTCACAAAGATAATAGTTGTTTTCTATATGTTCTTCAGGTGTCTGACATTTTTCTAGTGTGAAAAAATGGCAGTCGTTGCACATAGTGTATAGAAAACCCTCAACGGACCTCCTACAAAAAGAAAAACTTATGCCGCTAGCAAATAATGTGTTCCCACATATACAACATAAACAAATCGAAAATGCAGCGTAACAATATAAATGCAAAATATATTGCTAACCAATAAATACGTGCACAAAACAAACGACCATACTTGTGAGAATCAATGTGTGCTATACCAGATGTCTAATCAATACATGCATATACGACTCCATAGACTGCACACAACCAGTGCTATACATGAATTGTGCACACACAGATAACGAATAATTGTCCTTAATAGTGAACTGTCCCTTTAAATCTTGAATATCAGCACATGGACTTGTGGGGTATATATCCCATAAATCGTAATCCACATACAATTCATGTACAGGTGAAACTCGAAAAATTTGAATATCGTGCAAAAGTTCATTTATTTCAGTAATGCAACTTAAAAGGTGAAAATAATATATGAGATAGACTCATTACATGCAAAGCAAGATAGTTCAAGCCGTGATTTGTCATAATTGTGATGATTATGGCTTACAGCTCATGAAAACCCCAAATCCACAATCTCAGAAAATTAGAATATTGTGAAAAGGTGCAATATTCTCGGCTCAAAGTGTCCCACTCTAATCAGCTAATTAAGCCATAACACCTGCAAAGGGTTCCTGAGCCTTTAAATGGTCTCTCAGTCTGGTTCAGTAGGAATCACAATCATGGGAAAGACTGCTGACCTGACAGTTGTGCAGAAACCATCATTGACACCCTCCATAAGGAGGGAAAGCCTCAGAAGGTAATTGCAAAAGAAGATGGATGTTCCCAAAGTGCTGTATCAAAGCACATTAATAGAAAGTTATGTGGAAGGGAAAAGTGTGGAAGAAAAAGGTGCACAAGCAGCAGGGATGACCGCAGCCTGGAGAGGATTGTCAGGAAAAGGCCATTCAAAAGTGTTGGGGACTTTCACAAGGAGTGGACTGAGGCTGGAGACAGTGCATCAAGAGCCACCACACATACAGACGGATCCTGGACATGGTCTTCAAATGTCGTATTCCTCTTGTCAAGCCGCTCCTGAACAACAAACAACGTCAGAAGCGTCTTACCTGGCTAAAGAAAAACAGACCTGGTCTGTTGCTTAGTGGTCCAAAATCCTCTTTTCTGATGAGAGCAACTTTTGCAGAAGAATGGAGAGGCACACACTGCAAGATGCTTGAAGTCCAGTGTGAAGTTTCCACAGTCTGTGTTGATTTGGGGAGCCATGTCATCTGCTGGTGTTGGCCCACTGTGCTTCATTAAGTCCAGGGTCAACGCAGCCATCTACCAGGAGATTTTGGAGCACTTCATGCTTCCTTCCGCAGATGAGCTTTATGGGGATGCTGACTTCATTTTCCAGCAGGACTTGGCACCTGCCCACACTGCCAAAAGCACCAAAACCTGGTTCAATGACCGTGGGATTACTGTGCTTGATTGGCCAGCAAACTCGCCTGACCTGAACCCCATAGAGAATCTATGGGCATTGCCAAGAGAAAGATGAGAGACATGAGACTGAACAATGCAGAAGAGCTGAAGGCCGCTATTGAAGCATCCTGGTCTTCCATAACACCTCAGCAGTGCCACAGGCTGATAGCTTCCATGCCATGCCGCATTGAGGCAGAAATTGCTGCAAAAGGGTCCCAAACCAAGTACTGAGTACATATGCATGCTTATACTTTTCAGAGGTCCGATATTGTTCTATGTACAATCCTTGTTTTATTGATTGCATGTAATATTCTAATTTTCTGAGATTGTGGATTTGGGGTTTTCATGAGCCGTAAGCCATAATCATCACAATTATGACAAATCACGGCTTGAACTATCTTGCTTTGCATGTAATGAGTCCATCTCATATATTAGTTTCACCTTTTAAGTTGCATTACTGAAATAAATGAACTTTTGCACGATATTCTAATTTTTCGAGTTTCACCTGTATAGCACTGGGTATGTGCAGTCTATAGAGTCGTATATGCATGTATTGATTAGACGTCTGGTATAGCACACATTGATTCTCACAAGTATGGTCGTTTGTTTTGTGCACGTATTTCTTGTTTAGCACTATATTTTGCATTTATATTGTTGCGCTGCATTTTTTATTTGTTTATTTATGTTGCATATAGTGTGAACGAACCCTGAAGCCTTTTGGGGGAGACCTACTAAAACTGGTGCACACACAATCTGGTGCAGCTGTGCATAGTAACCAATCAGCTTCTTGCCTCAGCTTGTTGAATTAAATCGGAGCTCCACCCAAAAGTGTAAGTTCCGCTTTAAGCCATCTTTCCCCGCTCCTGATAAAGAAATGGCTTTTTTGGAACAGTGGGTACCTGATTCCCACTACCTAGGTAATCAGAAGCATACGTTTTGCAGTATTCTACATTCTTTGTAGCTACTGACTTTTAATTTTTACACAGGAGACTGCAGCTCATCCTTAAGCTCTGACAAAACCTAGAAGGTTACTATACCCAGCCGCATTGGATTCTGAGTGCACTAGCTTTAGTACATCTCCCCCATTGTATAGTATTGCAAAGCTGTAATGAGCTAATAAATTGCTACTTCCATATTTTACATCAAAATGAACCTCACTTACACTTCTATGTAATTAAACTAAAAAATAGAGCTTCCCTGTAAATAAATGAGATATGATACATTTGTTTTGCTCTTAAAGGGCTTGTTTACACTTGCTTCAAAATGTGGCATTGGACACACTTTTTTAAAGCACTCTGAATGGTTAGCTTACAGTCCTGTTCACACGTTGTATTTGCTTTGCTTCCAAAATTTAAACCCTATGCTGCTTTCATGGTGTTTTAAAGCATCTTTAAAGCCTCCATAGAAGTCTATGAAAAAGCTCACTTACAGCACAGTATATGTTCTGGAAGTGTCTGGTGCAGGCATAATTTCTGGTGTGCAGCAAGGAACAGCAGAAAGGAGAGCGCTTGTTGTCTGCAACATGGGAATGCTATAGCGGAAGGTTAGCGGAAGGTGAGAGAGGACTGAGCAATAGAGGATCATCAGAGCTGGAGGCCTGGAGCAGGAAAAATTAACAATGTCATATGTGAGAGCAATATACCAGAAGGTGAGTGGGGACCTGAGAGGGAGAGGAGGATCAGCAGTGCTGGGAGTTACTACTGAGTAAGGGATCAGAAAAGCTTGAGGTTACTATTGAGCAGGGGATCAGCAGAGCTGGGGGTTACTATTGAGTGGGGGATCAGAAAAGCTGGGGGTTACTACTGAGCAGGAGATCAGCAGAGCTAGGGATATTACTGAGTGGGGCATCAGCAGAGTTGGGAGCACTACTGAGCAGGGGATCTGCTGAACTACAATACTGATAGGCTGGGGATCTGCTGAATGAGAGTACCAATGAGCTGGGATCTGCAGAACAGGGGTACTAATGAGCTTGGGATCTGTTGAGTAGTGGTACTACTGAGTTGAGGTTCTACTAGGCCCCTTTAAAACAAATGGAAAATCAACACAGACACAGGTCATCTGCCTAGCTTCATTAAAGCTTGAAAAAAGAATAATCAAAGCATCAAAAATACATAAATAATGAATGTTGAAGCGGTAGGTGTTTTAATGTGTTAATTTGAAGCTTAGTGTAATGATACATGCATTATGTTCACACTTATTGCAATTGTGCCATCTATGGTTCAACATTTTATTCAATTATTTTCCAGCCTGAGAAGACATTGATGATAGATGAATGCTCCTCCTGTGAATGTAGCGTTTCCAGAGGACCAAATCCAAGTTATAAATTATCCTGCCAACGGACAACATGTGATCCTTGTCCACAGGTAAGGAATATGTAATCAATAATAAATAATGACATAATAGGGTGTGTCCCTAAAGTTTAAAAAAAATGTGGTCTTGCTGGTTAGAGAGCCCTTCCACTGCTAAGTCAGTGGCTGATAGTTTGAGCCTATGTTTGGCTTTGATTTGTTGTTCTAGGTACTGTACTTTCTATGTATAATTGCACCAGCCATGCACTATTAGTTTAATGCCTTCTCTAGTGTATTTATTGTATGTTTTAAGTTTTGTATTTTATTTTTCTACCTTATATTTTTGGCCTAAGGCCTCACCCCTGCCTTGGAAATTTTTTAAAAATTAATAAAAGAGATGGTTTAATTCTGTGCAGGGTCTTAAAGCTGTACCCCGGAATAAGCAAACATTGTCTAAATACAAGATCAATGATTAGGCCTTGTTCACACCATGCATGCTGAAAAACTCATGGAATCTGACACACAGATTTCACTTGCAGAGACATCAGTTTACATCAGTTTTCATGCACGCTGCATTGAGTTTTATACACGTTGCAGATTCCTGCACAGAAAAAATCTGCATGTGATGCTAGTGCTTTGGTGTGAATAGAGAACATAGAGAACAAATGATTTTGTTGTGTCCTTGCAGAACGCATGCAGAAAAACTAATATCTCTGCACCATGGTGTGAACGAGCCCTTAATCTTAGTTGAATTTTGGTGTGGTTTGCATATTTCTTCCAGTTCTGTGCAACAATTCAGCATAGAGCATTGCCTCTGTACGGGAATTTACTGAAATAAAGACCAGTTACTGTTGTTCTCACTCTTTGAGCAGACTGACTGGTCTTGTTCCAACCCCCCCATGGATTTTGGTCCCCAAGTTTAACTTAACAAAGTGTTCATCTATGTTTCCCACAGCCACCAGTCAGAACTGGATTTCCAGAATCTGTCATGCTCAGTCTTGAATTAAAGTAGTTCATATAAGGCAATACATACAGAGGAGAATATTTACTAAAACTTGAGCACTAAGAATCTGGTGCAGCTGTGCATGGTAACCAATCAGATTCTAACTTCAGCTTGTTGAATTAAACTTTGTACTTTTTGTACTCTGCAAGCAAATTAAAAATTTAAAAAATAATATGTGACAAAAAAATTGAGCTACCGTTTGGCTTCTGTTATTTAAAACAATGCAAAATTTGTACTCTTGTAAAAATGAAACATGTTACCACAGGTAGAGAAACAGATCTGTCTAAGGTGAACAATTTAGCCTTGACTGCTCCCTATCCCCTGACCCTTAAAGGAAACTTGTAGAGAGGAAGTATGGAGGCTTCCACTGGTGGCTTGTTTTTAATAATACTAGTTGGCTGGCTGTCATGGTGATCCAGTGGCTTCAGTGCTTCACTCTTACCTGGAACAAGTATGCAGATTTGGAGTTAAAACTTCACTCTAAATTTCCTTATCTTTTATAGTTGCCTGGGTCAGGATCTCAAAGTATTGAAACTTGACAGCTGGGCAAATAACATTAAGATGAAAATGGATCCCTCTTCCCCAGAACAATGCACCCCCTCCCCCCTCCCCCTCAGCCCTGTTTTTAAATGTGTGTTTTACAAATACCTTTCTGGAGTTGTCTTCTGCCCAATTATGTTCCTGTTCTGGAGTCAGCAGTGGGAGGTCCTAAATGCTGAAAAGAACAGCGCTCATTTAGTGAAATGAGGTTGCAAGATGACGTGACGCACCACCAAGGGGTGTATCCATGACTGTCTAGGCTCACAGGAAGGGAGCAGCTGAGCAGGACAATGGAAGATGTGGAGCATGGAAAGGGCAATTACTGCTTTGGCAACTTTTTCTAAGGGGAGTTGGGAGATGCGGTGGTATCTGCATAATGGCAACTGTAATATGGAGTCCAAGAAATCTTTAAAATTATAAACACATTATCTAATGTAAAGCCTTACAAAATTGTCTGTGGCCAAAGTCATAGACTACATTTACCATCATAATAATGGCTTATTCTTAAGGTTTAACTCCTTTATGGAAGGGAAGGTGAAATCTGTTTAGATCCCTCCATCCTACAGCATGGGATTCAGAATTGCTGAACCCTCTATGCGCACACAGGGAACCATACCCTCTGTACCATATTGTGTTGCCCACACAAAGAAAAGCAGCAAATCCACTTAAAGTTCAACTCCATGGGGTTGCTTTGCTAAAACTGGAGATTGCAAAATCTAGTGCAGCTGTGCATGGTAGCCAACCAGCTTCTAACTTCAGCTTGTTCAAATAAGCTTTGCTAAAAAAAAAAAAAAAAAAAAAAAAAAAAACCAAGGAAGCTGATTGGTTTCTGTGCAGAGCCGCGCCAGATTTTGTACGCTCCAGTTTTAGTAAATCAACCTCCATCTTGGGAAGAACCCATCACTGGAGAAGCCCCTAACTAAAATCCTGTGAACATTATAATTGGTTAAACTTGTTGACTTAATTTTTTTTTTTTTTTTTTTACAGAACACTGTTTTGCAAAAGGTTAAAGGCACCTGTTGTGGCAAATGCATCTTGATGTCCTGCACCATCATGATGAAGAATGGAAATCCAGTTAATATAGAGGTAATTATGCATCCCGTAAATAAAATTTGTTTGATTAGAAAAAAAGAATAGTCTAATTTTATTTTATTCTATACATCCACATATGTAAATTGAATGCAAATGCAAACGTGAATGCGTATGCATTTTACATATCATGCATGCGCTTGTTACTAGGGGCACTTCAGACAGATTTAAATGATCCAGATTATCGCATCTCTGTATTAATTGTCATCATAACTTTTTTCAGTTGCCATGGGATCCTTGGGAACACCCCTGTTTTACATGGGCTTCACCTTGTATAAGAGTAGTATGAAAAGCAAGCTTTTACAATGCATTTGTAGAGGTTTCAGCAAGGTTTTGTTGAAGCTTTTAAAGCGTCCTTCAGTTCCAGTTTGTATATGTTGAATACAGATCCGAATGAAAGTTGTTGACTACTTGAAGCCTGCAGTGCTAGCAGTGATAATCAGCACTCCCATTACGATCTTTGTATAACATTTCTATACAGGAGCTGAAGGGTAGTTTAAATGCTTAGAGAAAGCTGCTTGAAGCTTGCCAAAAACTTTGTAATAGCTTTCTGGAAGTTTCATAAAAGCTTGCTGTTCACACTATTCTTTTTTTTTAAATTATATATTTTATTAATTTTCTTTAGAAAAAGAGACAGTACAAGTAACAATAAATTCACATCAAATACATCAAGTACACTCCCTTTTCCCCCCATTTCCTCCCTCCCTATCCTCTTAAATGTCCATTCCTGTCTTAACTTCTCTTTCCCTTTCTGTATACCGACCTATTTCTATTAATCTGTTTAATCGTTTCACTTCTCCAACTCAATTATCAAATCACCCTTCATCTAAAATCATACCACCCTCTCCATGTTTCTCTAAACACTTCCACTTTATCCTCTCAATACAACACAACTTCCATCCTATTGATATACTCAATTCTATTTATCCAGTCCTTCATTGTTGGGGGATCCTGGGATTGCCAATATTCGGGAATCAAACTCTTTGCCGCACTCAATAGATAATACAGTCTATTATTTTTATATTGTTTTGCGGGCTGTTCACACTATTCTTATACAAGCTGAAGCCTATGTGAAACAGGCCTTATAAACCTTTATAAAATAATACTGTAGTCACTGTTGTCATTAATTTAGCACACGTGTTGGATCATTTCTATGTCTATGGCCATCCTCCATCTGCAAGCATGTGGAAACTGTGCAGAAGACGTTTATAGCTTCATCCAAGGGGCATTGTACCATAACACTTAATGATGCTGGGATGAGGACAGGCGATTAGTGGGTATTAAAACAAAAGTACAGCTGTTACTAACGCATCCCCAACCCCACTCTGGAGTCCCACACCACAGCTGTCCTTTAAATAAAAGCAGCAGTTTTGACTGCATAAATGCTATAAACCACTTAACGCCTTTTGGTCTTACTCCAAACTATGAAAGTACCAAAACATATATATAGCAATGACTATAGCAATGACAGCAGGTGCACTGCTGGTGTAGAAAAGAAAATTATCCAGCTATCTCCGTGATGTAAACTAAAAGAAAAAAACATTTTCTTTTAAACGGCTACTTTTCAGTCCAACTTAGAACATCATTGTGATGTTATCAAGTGATACGTTTTAACTCCAAAATAATACAGTATATTTGTTATAAAACGGATGAGATGTTGGGACCCCTGAACAACATACGCACACCATGAGGAGATGTAATGAAAGGTGATCCCATCTTTTTATCTGTTTTGTTCATTGACACTTTCCTTCCAGCCCAGCAAGTCCATACAGGATGGCTGTAACACATACAACTGCAAAGCTAATGAACAAGGAGAGTTGACTCTGGAAACTGTGGTAACAACTTGCCCACCATTTGATCATCAGAAATGTTTGGCAGATGGGGTAAGTGTGGTATAAATTCATTAATAGCATACCTATGCTGAATTCACTTTCTGAAGACAGAGACAAACTGTGAATTGCAGTAGTTTCTTGCTTTTTTGACTGTTAGTATCACTGGGATATTAAATATCGCCCTGGGGCTTAGGGTTAAGGGTTAGTTTGAGCCAAACGATTATGTTTAGTATGAATAAGGTTCATGTCAAAGTACTATCCATTGTCCAATTTGTTTACAGTTTTGGATAGAAATGGGTTATAGAACCGTTGTCAGGTTTGTACCACTATATGTTTCCCAGCAGGGACGATTCCCCTTCTCTGTCTTGGTGGCGACTATCATTAGGACAGAAAGTGATGGGAAATATTTTACAGTTGTCATGTCAAAAGAAAGATGAGGGGAAATCTTCTAATGATGATACCTACCACAGAAGATCAACACTTTGTGGAGTGTTGATTTTATGAACAGATTTCATGGTGATCCAATGTTTAGGTCTCACTTAATGTATATACTAACAAACATATACTACATATAATCATATACTTTCCAAATTAATTTGTTCTTCATTTTTAGGGTAAAATTGTACAACTTGGAGACTCCTGTTGTGAAACATGTAAGTATACATATCACCCCCATCATTACTCTTTTACTTCCATTATCTATGTTTTACAGAGACACATTTTGATTGGGCTTATTCAAATATTTTGAAACTTTTATATGTTTGACAGGTTCACTTTATGAAATTGCAGACCCAATCAAGTTAATTTTGGTGTTTATGTGATATCCTAGGTCAGGAACCGGAATGTAAGCAGATTGCGGGGGTCCTGAACTATATACGAGTTGATGACTGTGTGACGGAAAGACAACTAAATGTACACTACTGCGAGGTAAGATACAAAACAGACACGTATACAACTTAAGTGTACATACTGCAGCAGAAAAGACTGTTCATTCCAAGCATTGGGTTATTGGATCATTATCATATTTGGCTATTCAAGCTTATACTCAAGTCTGGAAGTGCCATTTAGTGCCCAAGCTGAGAGAACCGTTCTCACCACTCTCTGTCCCTATGAACTTTTACAACCTACTGTTTCTACAATGTGTCTAATAAGCACACTCTACACACAGTAAGAAACTGTAAAAATGTGTACAGACATGACATGAGATTACACTGTTTGTTTTTGGCCAGATCCAGTGAAGATCTTATGTCCCTGGGGTCCACACCCAACCAAAGCACAACTGATCACTGGAGAGCTATTCCAATCACTACTGTCTTCTACCTACCCCTTCCTGATATACGTAGCATGGACTTTGTCTGCCAACGCTACTTGCCTTCTCCTTTTTCCTGTCTTCCAAAAAAGAGCAAAGCTTCTGCAGTCACTAGGTGATGATGGTGGTTGAAGGCAGTTGGACGTTCTATAAATACAGTAATGTCATTTACGCAGGGACAGTTTTTTTTTTTTTTTTTTACAAACCCTGACCATTTTGGTGCTGCAGTATGAACAACAGAGATATAAAGTACACATATATACAAATTTATATATGTGAAACAAGGTTGTATCACTGAAACCCTGAATTTGTACATTGCTGGATGAGGAGAGAACCCTGTCCACACCTTCCTTTGTAGCTGCAGGTGCTGTGATGTATCCTTACAAGGAATACAGAGAATCTGAAGTTAGGTTTTAGTCATTTCCCAATAGCTTAGAAATTCCTGCTGTATATTTACATTAGAGGGCTGAATGTCTCTGTGACGGAGGGTAGGCAGGACAGAACACACATAGTAGATGGCAAACGCAAAAAGCTTTATTGAGACAAACAGATGACAGTCACGCAATAGAGGGACTTGCGGGGAGGGTGAATTCGCCAGTACAGGGTAGCAAGGAGGGGCTAAAACACTTATAGTCCAACACCGAGAGCCAAGGGAGAGTCTCTGTAGCAATTGTAATCCAACGGGGGGGGGGGGGGGGGGTGGTAGGGGGTCAGTACAGAAACAGTTCAGGTAAAACAGGGAGAATGCATATACTTATGGATCCGACAGGGTGCCTGTGCTCCCAGGGACAGAAAGTGGAACACAGGTACCTGCTGGAGTCTGGATCATGCGGGGGTGTTCCCTTCTCTGGGGCTGAGTCCTCAGGCAGCTAGCAGGCAATCTCTCCCCTCAGCTGGGGGTCTCTGGCAGCTGGCAGGCAATCCCTCCCCTGGACTGGGGGTCTTGGGCAGCTATCAGGCAATCTCTCCCTTGCGGGGGGGTCTCTGGCAGCTGGTAGGCAATACCTCCCCTGGACTGGGGGTCTCGAGCAGCTAGCAGACAATCTCTCCCTTGCTGGGGGTCTCAGGCAGCTAGCAGGCAATCTCTCCCTTGCTGGGGGTCTCTGGCAGCTGGTAGGCAATCCCTCCCCTCCTGGGGGTCTCTGGCAGCTGTGGGTGCAGTTCCCCGTTCGGCTAGGGGGGTCTGCAGAGTCTGGCCCCCAAAGGTCCCACCGCAGCTGGGCTCCTTTGGTGGCTGGTGCAGTGGTGAACAACGAACCCGGAGCGCCCGGCATCAGCTTCTTAAGCTAGGGCAGTGGAGGCCATGCAGCCAGCTGGCCGGGAGGGGCGGAAGCCACCGTGATGGACGTTGGCCATTTGGCAGGGGTCTCTATACTGTGACAGTCTCCATGACCTTAAAAAAAGGAGAAAGCAAATGTGACCTCAGTACCTTTGTTGTGAACTTTGAGGACTCCTCTCTCCACATTGTCTGCACCTTTAGGGGTCAGTGAATGGTTGTTTCAGAGCATTTATACTGCTTGTTAGGAATTTATAAATATGGTTTGATTGCCAGAAAAGTTTGGCAGTGGGACGAGTGCGGACTAAACTTGTCAATAGAATAGAGGTCAGTGAGGGTCTGTTTGGGTCTTTTTTACTGCTTGATAACTATATATACTGTAAATAATTCCCATAGTGTGGAAACAGGTGCACTTTAAACACAAATCTATAAACAGTGAAACTCTAGAATATTGCTTTGTTATCTCTCAGACAGCCTTTCCCAAAAATTCAGGAGCTGTAATGAGCAAATAGCAACTTCACCTAAGACATGGCATTTCCCCTTTCTGCCTCCTATTCCTCATTACCTTGATAAGCAGAATCACTGATCAGTGGTGAGCTGCAGTAGGTAGGGAAGAACCAAGTGCTGCTGACCTCTCATATCTGCATATTAGTGGGTCTAACTGAGGTCCATGTGCAGACACTTGAAGGTGTCAGCTATACCATCCCAGATATTTACAATTCCACTGACTAGAGATGCTAGTTGTACACAAATTCTGCCATTATATATGATATGTAAGTATCTATTTTGGAGATATATTGTCAAATATATTGTATATTATATTATAAATCTGTTATTTTATTTCAGGGCAAATGTACCAGTAAATCCATCTATGCCATAGAGACACATCGCATGGAAGATCAATGCATTTGCTGTTCTGCCACCCAAACCGAGCCAATTAAAGTGCCCTTGAGATGTGCTAATGGGACCACAGTAGAACATGAAATCTTACAAGCAACAAACTGTGAATGTCAGTCTCGCAAATGTACCACTCATAGCTCTGTTCCATGAGACACTTATTTCTTCCCAACTGTTAAGAAACTTCTTTTTGCCCCACAGCAGCCAATAAGAAATAAACTTAGTTTACTGCTTAGGATGCCTTGGGTAACTGTACATATTTGCTGTTTGCACTGTATGTCCATGCACTTGTCAATTGTGTACAAATGCTTCAATTATCATTTAAGTTTTCCAAGTTCCTATACAACCTCTAGTAAGACGTAAACATTAATTGCACAACACTCATTTTAAGGTGCAAGTTGTGGTGGGCTGCTGTGGAGAAATCTAGCACACTCCTAACCTAAACTCAAAAAGTGAAGATTTGCTATTTATAGGGCCCTTTTTATTAGTAACCCAACATTGGTACAGTACTGCTAAAAACTGAGACATTTGGTGGATTTATAGGCATCTAGTGGAAGACCAGGATTTATTATAAGCCACTTAAAAATACCATGTTCTAATCTTCCAAAATATTTTGCACTTTTTCCATTCTTTGATCTGGGTTTCATTTCCATCTGCCCACAATAAATCAATGTAAACACTTAAAGTTGGCCTGAACTAAAAAAAAAAAATGAAAAGATTTGGTATGTTACAAGAAACATTTTGAAATGTTAATTGTGCCTAAGCAGTGCCCTGAAAAAACATACATATTGTCCTGAATTCCTCCTGAAAGTTTGCAGTGCACTTCCCGATATGGGAGGTGCCTAAGTATTCTTGTACCTACAGTCTCAGAGCTGTCTGCAGTGTGAGGTCTAAGGCATTTCTGCTTCTGACTACTAGTTTCATGAGCTTTGGAGTAGATTTTTTTAATTTCATTACTGTGCTGCTCACTGCTGTCCTTGCTGGAGGCTCTGACATAAGCAAGCAAAACCCTGTCTCTACCAAGATGGCCACCTCCACACAGAGACACAGAACAAGGCATGGTAAATCAGTATTGAGGGATTATCAGCTACAGGGAGACTCAGGCAATACTGGTGACAATCCCTTTCCCCTTTGCTTTTGTTTCTTTCCAGTTCTTTTTTATGTTTGAATAAAACTAATTTTGTCTTGTTGAAACATTAAATAAAAAGTAATCTACTACAGTCATGCGTGGATCTTTAGTTATCAATGTTAAGTACACTCCATCATGGAAGAAATTCTGCTAAACCTGGTTAAAAAAATACAATTGATCAGTTGTTCTTATACAGTAAAATATCCTATAGGCATTTTTGGAAGTATTTTTTATTATTGAAAAACAGAGAAATCAATAGGCAGCAAAGAGCAAGTCTTTAATACATACAAAGCATTATTGCTAGATCTAGATTTTGTTTGTGTGACTGTTAAAATATTTGGTTTTGGAAAATGTATTCCTTTTCATTGGTCTATAGTTAGAATTGTTTTCAGAATCATATGAGGATGAGGAATATGAAAGTCCATTGTATGTTGTAAGTACTCAGCTTTTAAGGTGGTAATATCAGTTGCCCATTGAGTTTTGTGGTCAGTATATACAGTCTGTTAAGATTAGGGAATTTGTTTTTTTTTTTTTTTTTTTTTTTAAGTGCACTAAAACGGACTTGGAAAGATGCGTAAAGCATTGTAATTATCCACTGAAAATCTGTGAGAAATGCATTTTGATGTATCTATAAAAAGATGTCTCAATCTCCTCACGTATCACAAATCTACTAAGCGACATATCAGCATGGATGTCACATCACTACCTTAAACTCAATCTTTCAAAAACTGAGCTTGTAATATTTCCTTCCCCCCAATCCCCCACTCACGACTTTACCATTAAGATCAACAACACAACCATAGGTCGTTCCCCTCATGCCAGGGTGCTAGGCGTAATCGTAGACTCTGACCTCTCCTTTGGGCCCCACATCCACTCACTGGCTAAATCCTGCCGCCTCAACCTCCGGAACATTTCCAAAATCCACCCCTTCCTGACCAATGACACCACAAAACAACTCATCCACACCTTGGTTATATCCCGCCTCGATTACTGCAACTCCCTCCTCACTGGTCTACCGTTACACAGGCTATCCCCCCTTCAGTCTATTATGAATGCTGCTGCTAGACTCATACACCTTACTAACCGATCAACGACTGCTGCCCCTCTCTGCCAATCCCTCCACTGACTTCCACTAACCCAACGTCTAAAATTCAAAATACTAGCCACAGCTTACAAAGTCATCCACAACACTGCCCCTAGCTACATCACCAACCTCATCCACAGATACGGCCTAAATCGCCCATTCCGCTCCTCCCATGATATCCTCCTCTCTAGCTCCCTCATTGCCTCCTCCCACGCTCGCCTCCAGGACTCTCCAGAGCCTCTCCCATCCTCTGGAACTCCCTACCACAGCATGTCCAGTCAGCCCCAACCCTGTCTGCCTTTAGGCGATCTTTGAAAACTCACTTCTTCAGGGAAGCCTACCCCACCTCCACCTAAGAACTGTTCTTGAATCACCTCCGCCAGATCATCCCCCGCAGTTATCACCTTTTGTATCACCTCCCCCTTCCTTTAGATTGTAATCTCCATGAGCAGGGCCCTCCTATTCCTTCTGTTCTGAAATGTATTGTAATTGTACTGTCTCCCTTATATTGTAAAGCGCTGCGCAAACTGTTGGCGCTATATAAATCCTGCATAATAATAATAATAATTATTATTATTATTAAAAAGAATACAATTCTTTATCTTTCAGTTGCCTCAGGGTAGATAGATACAGTCAGGTCCATAAATATTGGGACATTGACACAATTCTAACATTTTTGGCTCTATACACCACCACAATGGATTTGAAATGAAACGAACAAGATGTGCTTTAACTGCAGACTGTCAGCTTTAATTTGAGGGTATTTACAGCCAAATCAGGTGAACAGTGTAGGAATTACAACAGTTTGCATATGTGCCTCCCACTTGTTAAGGGACCAAAGTAATGGGACAGAATAATAATCATAAATCAAGCTTTCACTTTTTAATACTTGGTTGCAAATCCTTTGCAGTCAATTACAGCCTGAAGTCTGGAACACATAGACATCACCAGATGCTGGGTTTCATCCCTGGTGATGCTCTGCCAGGCCTCTACTGCAACTGTCTTCAGTTCCTGCTTGTTCTTGGGGCATTTTCCCTTCAGTTTTGTCTTCAGCAAGTGAAATGCATGCCCAATCGGATTCAGGTCAGGTGATTGACTTGGCCATTGCATAGCATTCCACTTCTTTCCCTTAAAAAAGTCTCTGGTTGCTTTTGCAGTATGCTTTGGGTCATTGTCCATCCACACTGTGAAGCGGCGTCCAATGAGTTCTGAAGCATTTGGCTGAATATGAGCAGATAATATTGCCCGAAATACTTCAGAATTCATCCTGTCAGCAGTCACATCATCAATAAATACAAGAGAACCAGTTCCATTGGCAGCCATACATGCCCACGCCATGACACTACCACCACCATGCTTCACTGATGAGGTGGTATGCTTAGGATCATGAGCAGTTTCTTTCCTTCTCCATACTCTTCTCTTTCCATCACTCTGGTACAAGTTGATCTTGGTCTCATCTGTCCATAGGATGTTGTTCCAGAACTGTGAAGGCTTTTTTAGATGTCGTTTGGCAAACTCTAATCTGGCCTTCCTGTTTTTGAGGCTCACCAATGGTTTACATCTTGTGGTGAACTCTCTGTATTCACTCTGGTGAAGTCTTCTCTTGATTGTTGACTTTGACACACATACACCTACCTCCTGGAGAGTGTTCTTGATCTGGCCAACTGATGTGAAGGGTGTTTTCTTCACCAGGGAAAGAATTCTTCGGTCATCCACCACAGTTGTTTTCCGTGGTCTTCCGGGTCTTTTGGTGTTGCTGAGCTCACCGGTGCGTTCTTTCTTTTTAAGAATGTTCCAAACAGTTGTTTTGGCCACGCCTAATGTTTTTGCTATCTTTCTGATGGGTTTGTTTTTTTTTTTCAGCCTAATGATGGCTTGCTTCACTGATAGTAACAGCTCTTTGGATCTCATCTTGAGAGTTGACAGCAACAGATTCCAAATGCAAATAGCACACTTGAAATGAACTCTGGACCTTTTATCTGCTCATTGTAATTGGGATAATGAGGGAATAGCACACACCTGGCCATGGAACAGCTGAGAAGCCAATTGTCCCATTACTTTTGGTCCCTTAACAAGTGGGAGGCACATATGCAAACTGTTGTAATTCCTACACTGTTCACCTGATGTGGATGTAAATACCCTCAAATTAAAGCTGACATTCTGCAGTTAAAGCACATCTTGTTCGTTTCATTTCAAATCCATTATGGTGGTGTATAGAGCCAAAAATGTTAGAATTGTGTCGATATCCCAATATTTATGGACCTGACTATAGATAGATAGATAGACTATATGAACAAAAGTTTGGGGACACCTGATAATCTCATGTACTATATGGCAAAAATTACTGTATGTAACGCCCCCTCCTAATTTTTGAGTGCAGGTGTTTCCAATGAAGGTTCTTGTTAATGTTACAGCATACAAAGAAATATTAAACAACTGTGTGTTTCCAACCTTGTGATGACAGTTTTAGGACGTGACTGTGCCCAAAAGTCAGGTCCAAAATGATATGATTTGATGAGCTTGTTGTGGAGGAACCTGAGTTGCCTTCACAGAGCCTTGACCTCAACCTGATTGAAAATCTTTGAGAGATACTCGAATGCCTATTGCGTGCCAGACCTTCTTGTTCAATCTCAGTGTTAGATCTCACAAATGCTTTTTTTTACTAAATGGGCCAAATTTCCACATACATGCTTTCCAGTGGAAACTGTTATAGCCCCAACGTCTTGTTCAGTTGTGTATCAATGCTTATGGTTTTGGAATGGCATATTTAACAAACTCATATATTGTAGATGTGATGGTCAGGTATCCACAAACTCTTGCTCATATAGTATAGATAGATAGATAGATAGATAGATAGATAGATAGATAGATTGAAAGTGTTCTATTTGAATGATAAATCCAAAAAATACCTGCTAATTCTACAAGAAATCTAGTTAACTC